AAGATGCACACAAATCAAAAGTATTAGAGCTGTCTGCAGTCAGAAATGGTGATCTTGCTGGTCTTGCCATTCCTGGACCTAAAGTGCTCCATGGCTTCCGCAATGCTCATGCCTTCTTTCACCCTCCCAAAGACCACGCGTTTGCCATCCAACCACTCAGTCTCGTCAGTGCAGATGAAAAACTGGGAACTCTTTGTATTTGGTTCAGCATTTGCCATGGACAAGATGCCAGGATCTGTATGCTTCAGGATGAAGTTCTTATCCTCGAATTTCTCCCCATAGATTACTTGCCTCCAGTGCCATTATGGCCTGGCACAGTCTTGGCACATGAATCCTGGAATAATCCTGTGAAAGGAGGAACCCTTATAATCAAATCCTTTCTCTCCAGTGCTCAGAGCACGAACATTTTCTGCTGTCTTTGGAACTCTGCAAACAGCTTGAAGGAGACTTGGCCCAAAGGCTCACCATCAACCACAATGTCAAAGAACACAGTGGGGTTGACCATGGCTGACAGCAAGTGGTTACAGGGGACAGCAGCAACTGCAAAGCCTATGTATGTATTCTTTTATTTATCATTTCCATTTTACATGTATGAGTGTATTGCCTGCATGTAAATGCACCTGTGTCGTGCAATGCCTGGGGAGAAAAGGGATCCAGACCCCTTGGAACTGGTGTTATGGATGGTTGTTACCTGCCATTGGGTGCTGGGAACTGAACCTGGTCCTCTGTAAGCATAGCCCCAGTGTTCTTAATCACTGAACCATCTCTCCAGCCCCTTAAATTAAAAAAAAATTGAGACAGGGTCTCATGTAGCCCAGGCTGGTCTTGAACTGCCCTACAGGTGAGACTGGCCTTAACCTCTTGATCCTCCTGCCTCTACCTCATAACTGCTAGGATTATAGGCCTGTACCACTTCATCTGACTTTGCCATTTTTATTTTTTAAACTTCAAAGAAATAATTATTGCTATTATTGTCTACTATATCCTAGGAACACATTATCTCCATTAATCACAACTCTGAGAAGACACTACTGCCTCCATTTTACAAACAAGGACACTGAATGTCAAAGTCAGAGCTCAGACCCAGGACTGTCTGACCCCCATGACCACAGATGTTCCTTTGTTAGTAGTTTACAGAGTGGGGTCCATGAATTTGAGAGGGGGCATGTAAGACCAGCCACTGGGGCACATAATAAAATAGCTCTTTGCACTGTTTACTTCAATATGTTTTATTGCCTGTTTTAGCTTCTCCTTCTGATTTAAAAAGATCAATTTTGTTTTACTACTTTTTTTTTTTTTTTTGGTTTTTTTGAGACAGGGCCCCTCTGTAGCCCCAGCTGGCCTGGAACTATGTAGACCAGGCTGGTCTTGAACTCACAGAGATCCACCTGCCTCTTGCCTCCCAAGTTCTGCGATTAAAGGCATGTGCCACCATGCCCAGCTTGTTTTACTATTTTTAAGATTTATTTTTATGTTTTATTTTTATTTTATTTATTTTTGTCTTTTTGAGACAGGGTCTCCCTGTAGTCCCAGCTGACCTGAACTATGTAGACTAGGCTGGCTTTGAACTCACAGAGATCCCCCTGCCTCTGCCTCCTGAGTGCTGAGACTAAAGGTGTACACCACCACGCCTGTCTTACTTTTATTTTTTATGTGTCTCTGTGTGTGGGTATGTGCACATGACTGCAGTTGTCTTTAGAGTTCAGAAGAGGGCATTAGATCCCCTGGAGATAGAATTCCAGGTGGTTATGAGCCATTCAGTGTGGGTCCTGGGAACTGAACTTGGTCCTCTTGGAAGAGCAGTATGCTCTCTTAACTACTGAGCTATTTCTTCAACCCAGACATTTAATTCGACATTTTTTATTATAATATGCAATAACTAAACTAAAACTAGCCTAGTAGGTAAGTAGCTGATAAACAGTTTTGAAGAAGCTTCAGAAATAGCACCTCAGGGCAGGGGCTGGGGCTGGGGATTGAACTCAGGTTGTCAGCCTTGGCAGCAAGTATCTACCTGACAAGCCATTTTGTTGGCTTCTTCTTTTTCTTAGGGATAGAAGAAGGGCTGGAAGGTTAGAACAGAGCTCCATGCACATGAAAGGGAAAACAATGCATTGGGTGCAGGAGTTCCATCCTGACATACTTATTGATAAATGTGTTATGCATACATACAGATATAATATAAATGATATAATGTGCTGGGTGTATGTTGTTTTTTAAAGTGTACATATGTTTGTACTCACATATGTGCGTGCATGTGGAGGCCAGAAATCAACTTTGGCTGTCTTGCTCAGTAGCTCTGTATCTTATTTTTGAGGCAGTCTCTCACTGAACTTGGAGCTCACCAATTTGGCTAGGCCAGCTGACCAGGTAACCCCAGGAACTCCCCGATCTTGGCCTCCCAAGTGCTGGGATTACAGACTTTAAAAGCACTTTTACCAGCTATGCCATCTCCTCAGCCCCTATGCTGAAAGTTTTTACTGATGAACAGAGTGCAAATCCTCTGTTGTAGGTATGGATGGACAAGTTCCATGTAGCAGAAGGGAACCCGAGGATAGAGTTTATGTAGAGTCTGTGCCTTCTGGATCTAATGAGATCACTTGGCTTTATCAACCTGACTGTATGCTCTGCACAGTGCTACAAATTCACCACTCTGAATTAAATTGGTATGAAGGCTATGTTCAGTGAAAGTCTGGAGAAGGCTTAGTGTGGGAAAGAAGAGGTAGCTTTGGGTCTAGACACATCCACATCACACACTAGTTCTGTGGGTCTGTGGCCTGGTACCTCGAAGTATGGGTGGTGGACCATGGAGAGATAGGAAGCTAAAAAGAGGGGAAGGGTTCTGTTAGAACTCTCTTCAACCCTTTGGTCTTGCAATAGATATATAGCCCAGGCTTGCTTCTAACTTGAGTTCTTCCTGCCTCAGCCTCCTGAGTGATGGAAGTAGAACCAGTGCCACCATCTTGCTCTCTTGAGAACTAATTCAACTACCTGAATTCTTTCAAGGGGTAGTGCTCCCCAATAATAAAGAGCTCCCATTCGGCCTCACCACATCTTAACATCACCACCCCGGGGACTAAGCTTCTAGAACACAAACCTTTGGGAAATACAGACATCTACCTCCTGGGGCATTTTGAGGATGAAGTCAAACAGTATGGGCTAAGTGCCTCCTAGGCCTGGAACACAGTAAGCCCTTAGACAAATGTAAAGGCGTTGATAGCTCTAGGACAAAGGACCATTTCTGAATGCTTAGACTATACCAGGTGAGATGCTGAGTCTGCCTGTTTTTCTAAGTGGCTTACTGCCATAATTAGCTTCAGTTGTCAACTCGACACACCTGGGAGAAGGGCACTTCAAATGAAGAATTTCCTTAATCAGAATAACCTGTGAGGTCTGTGGGGCATTTTCTTAATTGCTAATTAATGTGGGAGGGCCCAGCCCACTATGGGTGATGCCACCCCGGGACAGGTGGACCTGGGCTTTTTAAGAATGTTGGCTCATCCCTAGCCAGGGAAGCAAGCCAGTAAGCCGCATTCCTCTATGGTCTTTGCTTCAGCTCCTGCCTCCAGGTTCCTGTCTTGGCTCCCCTCAGTGATGGACTGTGAGCTGTAAGCCAAATAGAGCCTTTCCTCCCCAAGCTGGTTTTGATTAAGAGTATTTTATCAGGGCAACAGAAAGCTAACTAGAATGTGTATGTAAGACTATTTTCTTATGAACTATTCCTGTCATACCCCCCTCACTTTCCTTGAGACAGGATCTCCTTGTAGCCATAGCTGGCCTAGAACTCGCTATGTAGACCAGGCTGGACTCCATCTCACAGAACACCACCTGCCTCTGTTTCTGGAGCGCTAAGATTAAAGGAATGTGCCTGACCCCCTTTGTTTTTGAGCAAGTTTTGCTGTGTATCCAGGATGGCCTTTATAGCCTCCTGCTTCAGCATACTGAATGCTGGGATTACAGTTATAAACCACCAAACCCAGGAGAATGTGCTTTTAAAGGATGCAGATTCTTGCTGGTTTGACATTAATGGGGAAGAGAAGTTGAAGAATCGGCTTTTGACAAGTTCCCTGGTAAATAATAGTCACTAACATTGGAGAGCTACTGATTGGCACCTGGTGTTACAGCATGTTGAGGAATCACAAAGGAATGAAAGCTCCTGAACTTAGAGCACACTGAACTTGAGTGTGTAGATGCACTGTCATTTCCTACTGAGGGACAAGGTAGGTGTGTGCAGGCCTGACAGCTGGGTCATATTGGGAAACAGCATGAGAGGGTGAGCATGCTTGTTCCAAGGGACCCCTGAAAGAGGTCATGGGACAGAGCACGCAGCTCCAAGATGAGGTCAAGAGGCTTGACTCCTGATTGCAGTTCAGTTCCTATCCACTCTCGTGAGGTCAGGTAGCCCCCCACCCCCCCACCCCCAGTGAGCCCAAATATTGCCATTCCTGTGTCCCCAGGGTCTGAAAGAACCTGTATATGTTCCCATGGGGCCCAAGCCACATAAAGTTGTCCTCCTTCTATTTGAACTGAGATTACTATATTAATGGCCGTTATTCCTAATCAAGATCTGTTGGACTATTGTATTAAGATGTTGCCTCCACAGAAGGCTGGAGAGTGTTGTCAGTCTCCCCTTTGAAGTTCTTCGTTCTGCTGTTTTTCTTTCCTTTGGAAAGTGGAGTGGTGGTATCATTTCTTCTTTTCTTTTTGATTCCCCAGGGACTAAGGGGCTACAGCCACATTGGAAGTTGATTTTGTCCTGGCTCTGCCTTAGGGAAATTAATACATTCCTCCTGAGAGCAGGTGACTTGGGCAGCCCTGCAATGGAATTGTGGGTGCACGTTTTTCCCATTCTTACACACTGCTGCCCAACCAGAAGATAGTCAGCTGGAGTTCAAGACTTCACATATGAGTCTGTTCTCTGATTGCAAAGACCTCAAGCCAACATGCCAAAGCATGAAGATATGCAGTTTCTTTGGCCAAATAAAATTCACAAACATGCCACCTTCACAATGAAGCTTGAAACCAGTCAAGCACTTTTTTATTTAAAAAAAGGAAAGTCTAATGATATATAGTTGCTACATGCTACAGCTAGGTGTTTGCCCTCCCTTCCCCTCACATTATACACTTGTTGGGATAAACGCCACCACCAGAATCTGTCAGTTGGCCCAGAGGGTGTGAGAAGGGCTGAGCATCCAGGGCCCTCCACCACCACATGATGGGCAGACACATGCAGTGGGCCATACCATCCAGAGCCCACTTCCTACCTAATCAGTGGCTCCCTGACATAGAAGTGTGGTTGTGGCTAAGGTGACCATGGTTTATCACCCCCCACACCGTGTAAGTAAAAGAAGTGCTACTAATAATTACAGGGTACAAAGGTATAGATAGGCATAGTACAGACACCACTGCATTAGAATTATTTATTGCTGTAGTAAGCCTGGTGGGGCACCTTTGCTCCTAACATACAGAAGTGAAAATGAAGGCCACTGACAATGGTACCACGTCTAGTCATTTGAAGGACAAAAGCTAAGACCCTCTTCTCTGACTGGTGCTAAGGAGGCTTACTTTGGAGAAGAGGATGGAAACAGGGAAGAAGATGGAATATTGACACGAGGAGGGGCTTGGTACCTTAGCTGGATAGCACCAGAGAACAGATATCACTCCATGGAGCAGGCTGGTCTGGTCTGTGGGAAGGTTGCTCAGAAGATGGTCCATGAGCAGGTAAGGAGTATGGACCACTGTTTTAATGCTGCAGCTATGCTTAGGGTTAGGTCAGTCCAGCTGCTAGAACCTTACCCAAGTTAGGAGCAATTCCTCCAGGCAAAGGCAGGGTGTCAGGCCTTGATGCAAACCAATTTCTCACCCATTCTGGCCACACACTCCTGACTTCAGGTAATCTTTGGTCTGTGGTAAGATATGGCTGTCTGCAGTATACAAAAAAAGCCCTGAAGGATGGGCTTAGACAGCCAGTAAAGGGCCAAGACTGACACATTGTTCAAAGGACAGGTGAGGCTTCCCAGTCAGCACTGAAGAGACAAGGGAGCGATGGAGGGACAAGAGCTAAGCCATGAATGTTCTTTATCTGCAATACTAGGGATGGAACCTGGGGCCTGATGCACACAGGCCACAGCTCTACTGCTGCGCTGCACCTCCAGCTTCATTCCTCATGAATCAAGTAAGCAGCTACTGGAGGGTAATGGCCGATTCTTCTTCCCACCCAATACAGGTACTTGTAATACTAGACTGTCCTTCAATCTTGGGGAGATTTGGCACCTTTTCTTTACTGTGGCATGTGCTCCCCCACTTTCCACATGCTACTGAAGTCCCCAGTGGGTTCAGAAACAGTTTAAGACCAAGAACTGTACCACAGAAATTGATTCCATGGAGCAGACCAGTGGCATAGGTTTAAAAAGCCTGGGGTGGGATCTAGCAATTTCCTGGGATGGCGGGGACATGAAACAGTTGTATCAGGGCTCAGCTCTCCCAGGTCTCAGCCTGGGACAATGGCATGAACCCACCAATGGCAACAAGTGATTCTGAGCAAAAGTATAAGCAAAGTCCTATTCTACCAAGTGGCTGTTCACGTTTCCCAGAGATGCACTGGCACCAGGAGCAGTGCACTTGTTCATCAATGGACAAAGCAGTCAGCAAGTCAGAAAGTGGGGTAAGAATCCCTCCTCCACCTCCCCTTGGGGCTGTGACCAGTGTTTGGCCAGGGGATTGTGGGAAAGACACCTAAATTCAGAGACTGGGGCACTCAATTCCCTGCAAGGACTAAGCATGTATGTTTTACCTGGATAAGGCTGGATGTGATTTCACTCTTCACACCTTAACATTCTCGTTACACACTGGGACTGATCCTTGTCTCCTCTTAGGGGTTGTTGTGATGATTAGTTAAGGGGGCCATGTTTGTGTTGGTGACCCACCTAATGCATGGTAGGGACACTGTTACCATGGTCCTGACATTTTCCAAGGCAGGGATCCAGGGGAGTCTTGCATATGCTCCCAGAGGATGAGCACAGTCCTGGATGTTCTAAGGCTAAGTCTCAGGCAGGGGCAGCTGGGAGAGTCACTGGCTCTGCAAACCCACCCACTTCCACATGCCAGGGCAGTGACTACTCTGTAGACTGGTGGAGAGCCGCCCACAGGAGATTTCACGCTGTGTGTGAGACCCAAGAAAAGGACAGAGAACTGAGAGTGCACGTTGCACGTCTATAGTTAGAAGAATGATAGGGAACAAAGGCAAACTCTCCAATCTGCCCACAGGAAGGCAGGCCTATCTGCTCTCCCTCAGCTGACCTCTTTATGAGAAGGGAAGGAGGCAGTTTTCTCCAGTGGAGTTGGCAAGTACAACTCAGACTTCTTTAGTAAGAGCTGATGTCTTACACATGCTAGTCCACCCAGCACCCACTACATAGTAGGTGCTCACAAAATACCTGAAAAGGTTACTGGGAGCCAAAAGCAAATTAGAAAAAAGTTCTATCTTTTCAAGGTAGTCAAGCCCTGTAGAACAGCTTCACAAAAGCTGTTCAAGTCAAGGTGGGTCAAAAACTCAGGAAAACTGTGAGGTACCCTGTATAGTCGGTGGGGGCGGGGGGAGGCTTTGAAGAGGTGCCAATATGCTCCCAGCATCCCCATCCCCATAACTGCCACCTTCCCTAGATCCTGGGCACAGGGTGAGCCAGAAGGCCCTCCAGGAGGCACCTCACAACCTGGCCCAGCACTTGGGGGAGGGGAGAAGGGGATACAGGTTTACCAGAAAAGACCAACAATGCCACTGTGAGTCAGAGGGAAGTACCAGAGCCCACAGGGCACAGGAGGGGATTGGGATGGGGGTGGGGTTGTAGAAGAGGTTTTCTTGCACTCAGTCTTTGGCACTACAGTGAGATGCAAGTCATCCTGGGAAAGGTGACTTCCTGCTCTGAAAGCACAAATGATCACCAGGAGTGTGAGATTTGGGAAGCAGACATAGAGTCTCCTCTTCTGAAGGGTCTGTGGGATGGGGTTCTGATCTCTCAACCCCTCTCATCTTTCACAAGAAGCCCATCTATAGGTACAAGTTGCTCTGGGCTGGGAACTAGAAAATCTGGGTCCTGATTTCTGCAGTAACTAAGTAGACCTTTTGAGATCTCAGTCAACCAAATCATCCAAAACAGGGAAGGGTTACCCTAGACTTCTCCCAGGGAATAGGTACCCTAAAAATAAAACTGCTCGGGCCAGAAGTATGCAGGGTCATAGCTGCCTGTCCCGAGCTACTATTGTTCTGCTTCGCTTGGTAAAGACCCAGCTGCTGGTCCTTAGCCACCAGAGCCCCACAGGCCACCAAGGGACATCACTTCAGCTTCCTTTGTTCCCCTTCTGAGGGCCACCTGCCTACAAACTCTGTGCCAGCTACCAGGATGTAGGGCATGCCTTGCTTGGAAGGTGTAGCTGTCAGCTCAGGGCAGCTCCTACTGTTTCCTTGCCCACACCACAAGGAAGACTCGTGGCCACCTGCCCTGACATCCAGTCAGCTTCCATCTCTTCCCTCACTGATTTGCCTCTTACAGGGAGAAGAGCACAAGTGTTGGAGTCAGGTAGGCCTGGACGCAAACCCCATTCCTCCTCTTCCCAGTTAGTGTGTCCTTTGGCCCATGAATTTCCTCATCTAGAAAATGGGTGTGATTGAATTAGGGGGTTGAAGGTTGGAACATGAATGCAAAACACCAAGAACAGTTTGGCATCTACTTAGCAAAGGAGCACTGTATGCCTTGTGAAAGGCCCCTTATCTAAACATACTTGGAGACTCTTATTCTAGGGGGATGGGGGAGGTGGGCAGGAAATGTCATTTAAAAGCCCTGGCTGGACTGGAACCTGAAGAAGCAAAGTGAAGCATGCTCAGGAACCATTCCTTTAGGATTGGTCATGGTCCTGAGGCAGAGGGGAGGCAGGATGGCCGAGTGAACCTCCAGGACCACTTCTGGGGTAGCTGCATCTGGTCAAGCCTTAAAAGCTAATGGCTCTGAAGCAGAGTTGTATAGGACAAAGTCTTTCCAGGTACCAGACGTTCTGAAAACAGTGAACAAAGCCACTGTACTTCTAGAAACATGGAGAAATTAGAACGAGTCATCACAGGCTACACAGGCTATCCCTCTATGCTGCATTGGAGAGGGGAGATACTGTCTGGAAGTTCTCAGTCCTGTAGGCCTGGGAGTGTCACTGTTCTCCAGAGCCTTCTGGGGGTGCTGCTAAGGGAGGATCAGACCCTAGGCCACCAGATATCTGAACCAGGCATTCTTCACCTTGGGAAGGAGGAAGCCATGGCACCCCAGAAGCCTCCTTCCTTGGAAATTAGTGGAGATTGATAAATTAAATGCGTATTAAATACGTGGGCTATGCCAGCAGGGACAGTGGGGTCTCCAGGCAGGGCAGGGGAGGCTATGGTTTCTTCCGGAGGTAGTTGGAAGGAATCCAGCCTTCCCAGGAAGGGGCCCCACTGAGGACCTGGCAGAACCACCAGCCGCTGCTGTTCTTCTCCCGAACCTCAAACACTGTCCCTTCCTGGAAGCTGCTGGTATCTTCATCTCCTTCAAAGTTGGCCACAGCCACATACAGTGAATCCTTTGGGCCATCAGCGTTGAGGAAGGAGGCTTTCTCTCTATTTTCTCCCATCTTGCCAGCTATGCGGGGTCCCAGCCCGCCTTTGCCTCGCATATCATCTTGACCCAGTGAGGAATTGGAAAGGAAGGGTTTGGCTTTTGGAGGGACAAGGAGGGCCCGGCCTGTGGCAGGAGCTGCCCTGCTCTCACTGGCTTCACGCTGTGACCCTCTGACCTCTGGGAGTGGCTTGGATGACAATGGCGATGAGGTTTTCTTGGGTGGTGGAGGTCTCCGGGGTGGGACCACAGGTCTCTGCTGTGTGGCCTCTTGGGCAGGCACATTCTTAGGCCCAGGATCTGTGGTCTTGGCTGGCCTTGGAGGGGCTCTGCAGGGTGAATCTTTTGAACCCAGCCCATCCTGTCTGCCAGCCCTGTCCTGGCCACGGCCAGGTCCCTCCCCTGGAAGGAAGCTTCGACCGAAGGCTGTGTCTTGGCCCCCAGCAGCCTGGTGGCTCTCTCCATCCAACGAGGATTTCTCCTGGGACTTGGCAGGCCTGAGCTTGCTCCTGAGGTTGCAGATGTCCACTTGGTCTTCACCCTGAGGTGGCTCTGTCTTGGGGGAAGGAGTTGGTTTGGGCCTAACCTGAGGTCTGGACTTCAAGAACAGATTTTGGGGAGTAGCTTCTGGCTTCTCCTCAGGCGGCTCAGCCTTGCACTTGGAGACGGGCCGGAGGTTGGGCTTCTTTACTTCCTTGGCCAGTACCTTGTGGCCGCACTCCAGTCCCATGTCATTTTTCAGTGGGAACAACTTGCTTTTGTCAGGTTTGGGCTCTGGCTTCCTGCTGTCCCGGGGCGGGGGGCCATGCTTGGCTGGAATCATTGGCAAAATCATGCCAGGGGGCTTAGGAGAAGAGCCCCGCAGCTGCTCCATTTTCTGTCGTTCCCTCTCCAGCAGCTCCCCTTCAGATTTGATGATGGACTCTTTGCGTGGAGGGAGGCTGGGCTTTTCCTCCAGTGTGGGGTCTGAGATCTCTTCATAGCCAGCTGATGCAGACAGGTCTGAAGATGCCTTTCTTGGGGCCTCCTTCACCCCCTTCCAGTCTTTGGACCATAGCATCCCAGAGTCCAGGGTACCATGCGGTGCCTCAGGCAGGGGCCGGGAAGGGCCTACAGCTTCGGGGCCCATATTATTCTCCATTGCTGCTGCATCTCCAAGCCGGAGCTGGGTTACCTCATGGGGCAGGGGAGCCAGGAAGTTGGGCCTTGAGGCATTGCTAGTCTTCTTGTACTTGTCAATGAAGGTTGCTGGGGCCCATCCCTCCTTATCTTCCATCTGAATGTACCACCAGCCACTTAAGCTCTTCTCGATCACCTAAGAGGGGACAGAGGAAAGCACTTAGGAGGTCTGGTGCCAGGGCCTGGGGTCTAGAAGATCTCACATGCAATAAGTACTTTGGAAACTGTACTCTGACCCTGTAGATTCTCCAACTAGGGCTATGCTGGGTCAGCTATGAAGACTGTGTACTGGGATACTTTAAGGGACAGTTCTTGTCCAGTATTTTGATTTTTTTTTTTTTTTTGAGATGTATTCTTGCTATGTTACTCAGGCTAACCTGTAATTCTTGGGCTCAAGCCATCCTCCAGCCTCAGCCCCCTGAGCAGCTGGGATTACAGGTGTGCACTACCATATACAGAATATTTTTGTTCATTTTTGGACTGTGACAAGGACCCTTTGGAAGAACATGCTGATGGTACCTTCGAAGTCACCTCTGGGGGAGAGGCACTTTCTGATGTCTAATCCCTCTCCACCCAGGGCTTTGACTCTCCTTCCCTGCTGGGAGGTGGGCAGATAGCTGTGGGAACTCGTGTGTAGTTACAGGTCAAATCAGGTAGACCAGGCAGGCCACCAACACAAACTGCTGTAATGCTTAAGAAGTACAAGGCAAAAGACACCAGAGGCAAAGCTACTCATGATCCTGGTTTCTTTGGTTGAGCACTTAGAGGAGTTGGCTAGTGTTTATAGCAGCTATACCATATGAAAAAAATGCTAATGGTTAAACAAAGAAATCACACTTAGGTCAATGTATGCTATCATAGTCCCTCAGGCCATGTGTTTCCAAATCTCTCCCTTTGAAGACTTGTATGCTATGTTTATATTCAGGGGAGCCAAGGCTGGTGGAATGAAACAGATTTCAGCTCTCATCTCCATCTCCTTATGGTACCCATACCCATGAATTGAATGGTGGGCAGAACTGCTTATGTTTTTCAGATACTATGTTTCCTATGTCCTTCTGGTCCAGCATCATCTGAATTCTCGTGGGTCAAGGATGCATGAACTATGTGTTATGGGCTGAAGTGTTCTCCCCAAATCCCAAAGTGAAACCTTGACCCCTCAGTACTTCTAAAGGTTTGGATAGACCTTTAAAGAAGTAGCTAGGTTAAAATAGGTCATAAGAGTAGGCCCCAGTCCACCATGATTGATGTCTTCATAGGAAGAGATTTGGAAACACACAGACTGAGGGACTATGATGAGGACATGGCAAGAGGGTGGCCATTTGTAGGCCAAGAAGAGAAGATTTAGGAGACACCTACCTGCTGACACCTTGATCTTGGATTTCCATCCTCTAGCAACATAAGAAAATAAATCGCTATGTTTAACCTACCCAGTTTGTGGTATCTGGGTACGGCCGTCCTAGAAAACTAACATGCTGTGGTTCCCTAGCAGGTTCTAATGCTCACAACCTTCCCATGACTATCATCCCATTCTATAAACACAGTAAAGCCTCAGGAGAGCTGAGGAAATGGCATAGGGTCCTGTGGAGAGGGCATGGTGGAGGGGAGAGTGCAAGGGAGGCAGCTGGGCTTCAGAGTTAAGAGCCCTGAGTATTGCCAAACCCTGCTTCCAGGGCCACAAAGCAAATTAGGGGAGGAAAGGGTTCATTTCATCTTATACTTCCAGGTCACAGTGCATCACTGAGGTCAAGAGCAGGAACTCAAGGCAGGAACCTAAAGCAGAAACTATGGAGGAAAGCTGTTTGCTAGTTCACTCACTGACTCATGCTCAGCTAGCTTTCTTTTTTGGAAAATGTATTTTATTTATTGTATGTGTATGAGTGTATTGCCTGCATGTGAATCAGTATGGTGCAATGCCCATGGAAGTCAGAAGAGGGCGTTGGAGCCCCTGGAACTGGAGTTACAGATGGTTGTTAGCTACCATGTGGGTGCTGGGAACTGAACCCAGGCCCTCTGCAAGAGCAGCCAGTGCTCTTAAATGCTGAGCCATCTCTCTAGATCCTCAGTTAGCTTTCTTAATACAGCCCAGGACCTGCCTGATGATAATACCACTGACAATGGGCTCAGTTCTTTTACATCAATTAGTAATCAAAAGTCCTTCACAGACATGTTCACAGGCCAGTCTGATCTAGGCAATTCCTCGGTTGAGGCTCTCCTGTTAGATGACTGTAGCTATGTTGAGTTGGTAATTAAAGCTAACTAGAACAGTATATGAATGGTGATGCTGGGTTTGATCTTTGCATAACAGGTTCAAACACAACTCGGAACTCCTTCAAATCTCATCTGTCTGTGGGTTTTGACTCAGACAACAGCAATATAAAAATAGAAAAGGATTTTCTTTTTGTAAAGCATCAAGATGTGTCAACACCCTTGCAAGCAAAGCCAGAGGGAATTCTATGTGCTCTTGGACCCCACTGGGCAGAGTGTATAGAACTAACTTTTTGAGTGCAGTATGTTGGTGGGCTTGGGCCTGATACAGTGCCTGCCAGAGTTGCTGGCAAGCTACAGAAAGGAGAGAAGGAGGAAGGTTGCAGAAGGGGGTTGGCCAGTGGTGGCCACTGTTACAGTACCAGGCACTGGAGCGATGTTCTTTAGAACAAAGCAGGCAAAGGTGATTCTTCAGAACCCAGGAAAGAGCCTGGCCCAGGCCCTCTGCAAGAGCAGCCAGTGCTCTTAAATGCTGAGCCATCTCTCTAGATCCTCAGTTAGCTTTCTTAATACAGCCCAGGACCTGCCTGATGATAATACCACTGACAATGGGCTCAGTTCTTTTACATCAATTAGTAATCAAAAGTCCTTCACAGACATGTTCACAGGCCAGTCTGATCTAGGCAATTCCTCGGTTGAGGCTCTCCTGTTAGATGACTGTAGCTATGTTGAGTTGGTAATTAAAGCTAACTAGAACAGTATATGAATGGTGATGCTGGGTTTGATCTTTGCATAACAGGTTCAAACACAACTCGGAACTCCTTCAAATCTCATCTGTCTGTGGGTTTTGACTCAGACAACAGCAATATAAAAATAGAAAAGGATTTTCTTTTTGTAAAGCATCAAGATGTGTCAACACCCTTGCAAGCAAAGCCAGAGGGAATTCTATGTGCTCTTGGACCCCACTGGGCAGAGTGTATAGAACTAACTTTTTGAGTGCAGTATGTTGGTGGGCTTGGGCCTGATACAGTGCCTGCCAGAGTTGCTGGCAAGCTACAGAAAGGAGAGAAGGAGGAAGGTTGCAGAAGGGGGTTGGCCAGTGGTGGCCACTGTTACAGTACCAGGCACTGGAGCGATGTTCTTTAGAACAAAGCAGGCAAAGGTGATTCTTCAGAACCCAGGAAAGAGCCTGGCATACACATCATAGGAAGAGCTCCATGAACCCAACCCAGCATCCCTTTGTATCTGAAGGGGAATGGTCTCCTAGACACCCCTATGAATACTTAAATCCATGGCTGCTCAAGTCCCACATATAAAATGTCATTGCTTTTGCATAGAATCTACACTCACCCTCCTGTAGTCATTAAATCATCTTAGATTGCCTATAATACTCAATGTAATGTAAGTGATACACACAATATAGTGATACTGTATTAGTTAGGGACTGATGACAAGCAAAGTCATCTCTACATGTTCCACAGAGATGCAGTCTTTTTCTCTTTAAATGTTGGTTGAATCTATAGATGCAGATCCTGGGAACACCAGAGAAAATGGATTATATATATCACAGAGATGAGCAAACAAATTTAGTCTCTGCCTCCCAAGATGGGGTAGGCAGCATCTGGCCAAGGCTTACTTGTGGACAGAGTGGAAATAGGGATGCCAGTGACCAGATCACTGGTTTTGGCCAGGAGGTATCCTGGCCTGTTTTTTTTTTTTTTTTTTTTTTTTTAAAACATGAAAGTCCTCAAACATTTGTTGGGGCCTGGCCTGGTTTCTAATCCCTGCTCCTTGTAGCTCTCCTGTTACCTGTAGGCTTTCTTGAGAGCATGTGAAACACCGTTTAGCCCTAAGCCCATGAAGACAAATGATAAACACAAGAACAGAAAGGACTTGCACTGGCCTTCATCCAGGGATCAGAGCAGGAATGCAGAGACAGGAAGAAAAGAACAGAGGAGATGGGAGGCAGGAGGTGGCAGAAAAAGAAACTCGGGACCAGTAAGAGGCTCAGTAGATAAAAGCACTTGCTATGCAACACTGATGACCCAACTTCGATCTTAGGCCCATCATGGTGGCTCCAGTCTATTATCCAGCCCCAGCACTCCTATGGCAAGATGGGAGGAGGAGATGAGAGAATTGGCCAGAAGCTTGCATAGAGGGCCAGCAGCAGAAATAACAATAGACCTTGCCTCAAAAGCAAGGAGGAAGGAGAGAACTGTCTCCTGGAAAATTATCCTCTGACCTGCAACATGTATGGTGACATTTGTAAGCATACATACAGACACACACACAAAATAAAAATCTTAAAAAGAAAAAGGGCTGGGAGCTTGGCATGGTGGGACAGGCCTTTAATTCCAGTGAGTTCGAGGCCAGTTGGGGCTAAAGGGAGACCCCATCTCAAAAAGACCAAAAAAAAAAAAAAAAAAAAAAAAAACAGCAGTTAAGAGCATTGACTGCTCTTGCAGAGGACATAGGTTCGATTCCCAACACCCATATGGTAGGGTTCAGTTAAGTGCAACTCCAGTTCCAGGGGATCTGATGCCCTCCTCCATGAGCTTTGCAGGACACAGATACGCTTACATATGTGCAGGCAATATACTCATACACATAAAATAAAATAAAAAAAAACAAATAAAAAGGAATACAAGCCAGCCACACAGGACCACATATTTTACAATTCTATTTCTATGAAATTTCCAAAATAGGCAAATCCAAGTCAGATAACTGAGGGGAGGGCTGAGGAGAAAGGGGGAGTGCTGGCTGAGGAGGGAGTTCTGCTAATGGGCCATGGAACTGCATAGTAGTAATGGCTGTACAGCTCTGTGAATATAAGAAACCACTGAATTCTACTTCAAGTTGGCAGACAGTTTGATATGTGAATTACATCTTCATAAGGCCATTCACTTCACTGTGCCCTCCCCTACAGCAGGAGGTGAGAGGAGGGTAGGAGGCCATGCCTAGAATGAAGAGTAACAGCAGGCAGGGGACAGCAGGTGCGCTCACCTCGACTTTCAGGCCAGCCTGAAAGCTGATGCCATCGGGGATGGTGGTCTGGAACTCAGCAATGGTGTAATACTCTTCTTCTACCTGGGGTGGGATGGGAGGCTTTGGCAGGTTGAGGCCTCGAGGCTGGAAGGATTACACACAGGACTGACTGAGTCAGGGTAGGACTGAGGGACTAGGGGACACACCATCACCACAGACAGGGTGCGGGAGGCACCTGCATTTTGACTATAATCTGTCACGTGAGGTCAGGCATGGAATTTTCTTTCAACTTTTGGTGTCATGTTAATGCTCAAAAGTGTCAGATTTTGGAGCACTTTGGGTCTTTGAATTAGGGATGCTTGACCTGTATTGGCTAAAAAGGTATCTAGAGCAATAAAAATGGAGTACCAGAGTGTCATAACAGATGATACCAGTGCCTCATCTAAGTGTGGACCTCAAATTGTCTGATTCATAAAGACTGATGTTGGTGACTTGGAAACAGAGCAAATCCACAGGTCTAACATCACAAAACCCTGGAATATGGGCACATGGTTCACCTGGCTTGACCTCAGTGCATGGAAAGGAACATCTTGGAAGGGACCAGATGGGGAGCTGATGGGCAACCCAAACAGGACTCAGGCCAGGGAGGAGGGCCCTGGGATAAGTGGGCACTTACAATAGTCATGTCCCGGCGTGGAGGGGGTCTCTGTCTCATCTTTGGGGATCCTATGGAGAAACAAGACTTTACTCAAGTGCAGAGCCCCACAGATGGATTCTCTGCTGTGGGTTCCAGGCAGGGTCTAGTCCTTCTCTTCTTGGCACATAAGCCATGTGCTACGAGCCTCTGTGAGAAGAGTCTGGCTATGTTCTTCTCATGCTTGGTTTGGGACCCTCTGCCAAAATGGCTTTTCCCAGATCTTTTCTACACAGGAACAAAGGGAATGATGCTGATTCTCGAGCAACAAGAGACTTTCCATAAAGGTCAAAAAGCATTGATTCAGAGTAATAAACGGCGAGGTCCAGACTCACAAGCTTCTGGCACAGGACAAAATAATAGTTTGACTTTGAGCCACAAGGTCCTTTTCTGTAGAATAGGACTAAAGGTAGAGAGGTAGGCAAAAGCTGTATAGATTCTGGCACAGAGCCTGCCGGAAGACATGTTATTGTACCCAGTTTCAAGCTCTACAACAGTCCCAACTGAACAATGCATACATAGGTGCTCATGATTTCAGGGGTGTTTACTGTGGAGTTGGGTTGCTCCAGTTCTAGGTTTCAGAGTCTGGAGGTGACCAGTGGTCCATGCTGTCTGCCTCCAGACAAAATGCTGTTAAGGTCACCCATGTGCTGCAGAACTGGTTTAGCATCATAAGGAGGGATAGCTTGGCAGCTGGGGTAATCTCTGAAATACCCATACCCATTTATGTCTTTGATAATATTAGAAGGCACAACAGAGTTTTAGCTAAGATATTTAGCTAAGTATATAAAGACTACCATTCCCAGACTTCCTGTAGTCGGTGTTACGGCGTGGCTAAGTCCAGCGGGATTCGGGGAAAGTAGAAAGTATATATGCAATATCTGAGTTGTAGCCTTCACTTCTCCCTGCCTTCCATGGGCTGGACCAGTGATGAGGCACACTGACTGGGTGATGAGGGCAACATGAGACAGATGCAGTAAACCAAGACTTTGGACTGCATGGAGGTGCCATCTTGGACCTGGATATGTACTTGCACTATTATGTAAAAATGAAATGAGCTTCTAGATCAACTGCACCACTATTATCATGGGTATGTGTGTGTGTGTGTGTGTGTGTGTGTGAGTGTGTGTATGTGTGTGTGTGTGTGTGTGTGTGTGTGAGTGTGTGTATGTGTGTGTGTGTGTGTGTGTGTGTGTATGTGTGTGTGACTTTGTTTTAGCCTCTGAACCTACATCCTAACAAAGTCACGTTTCTTTAAATTTTCATTGGGTCCCCTGGTAATGATGGACTATGCTCTTGACCATCAAAGACTAGAATCCCTGCGTTTGGGCTGGCCAGACTCCTACCATGGCATGAAACAGCCATGATGCTCCTGGCACTTGGGGATGGGAGCAGAGAGCCTGAAGCTCAGGGGTAGTACTCTCCTCTCTGTGTGGAGAGGGAAATGCTTTCTTCACAGATTTCTACTGCCTTGCATGACCAGCATAAGCTCTTGGGCACCGTGTTGAGGTCAGAGCCCCAGGTAGGATGCAGATAACTATGAAGAACCCTGCTCAGGGAGGCTTTGAAAAGCACAATGTGGGGCTGGAGAGAGGCTCAGCGGTAAGAACTCTGACTGTTCTTGCAGAAGACCCGGGTTCAAATCCCAGCACCCACATGGCAGCTAACAACAATCTGTAACTCCAGTTCCAGGGGATCTGATAGCCTCTTCTGTCCTCTGCAGGCAGTGCATGACATGGGTGCACCTACCTACATGCAGGCATAACACTAACACACATAAAATAAAAATAAAATATTTTTAAAAAAGAAAAGAAAAGCAGAACAGGTGAAGCACTGTGGTTGGAACAAATCCAACACGGCGTCAGTTTTTATTCCTCTGGCTCAAGTATGAGGCCATGGAGATGCGTGTAGGGGTAAAGCACTGTCTGGGTTCAGGCCCAGCCACACTGTTTCCAGGTGAAGGGCCTCAAACTCACTACCCCACCTCTCTGATTATTCACCTGTAAAACTAAGGCAGGAAGTCTCTCAGAAGTTGTAAGAGGAACCTAATTAGAAGGTTCCTGACACACAAAAGGTGCTTGATCCACACCACACAGTGGAACAAACACCCCAGGGAAGGGAAGCTGTATCTCACTGCTCAGATTCTGTAATCTGCTGGTCAAGTGGTCTGGAATGAGTTTCTCAGGGTTCCTGAGCCTCTGCTTTTATCCTCAGGATAGGAGCAGATGGCAGGGATGTTGCAAGGAAGAGGGCACTGTGTGAAGCGCTAAGCTTGGGCAGGCCTCCGCTGTCTGGAGCTAAGGTGGGTGTCACTCACTCTGCTTAACATCGCCATCTGGCACCAGGCGACCTTCAAACCGGCCATCCCTTTGGTTGTTGAGTGGCTCTTTCTCCCTGCCCATAGCATTCTGCTGCCGTGAAACACCGTCCAGGTCGAGGGCCCCTGAGTGGGCAGATGAGCTGAGGCCCAGCTTTGGAGGCAAGGGCTCTCCACTGCTCTTTTTCAGATAGGAAGCAGGGGCCCAGCCCTCTTTGCCCTGGAACCTGTGAGGAAGGGAAAGGATTCATTCAGATCAGCTTGGTCTTTGGGGAAGAAGCTATGCTACTACTGAGAATTAGACTTCAGGTCCCGGAAGGTGGGACAGAGAGTGCTAATTGCTGAGGGCTAGAGGCCACATGTCGATCACTGCCTTCTGATGATGCCTAAGCCCTCAGTTCAACCTCCCCGGCCTTTCGAACCTTGCCTCCTTTTGCCTCTCTCAATAACCACTATGTCCCTCTCACCCCACCCACTTGCAGTCTCCCAAGTACACCTCTGTCTGTCACCTCCCCATGTTGTAGCTCTTGGTGGGACTCTGACTGACAAACTCCTCCCTCTCCTTCCCAGCAGCTATTCTTCCTGGACTTTGCTTAATGTCTTTAAGTCTTTTTCTGATCTTCAAATGAGGCCCAACCTCTACAGTGGTCCCCCCCTGGCTTCTGCACATGCTGTCATCCCATCACCCAACGCAGTTGGCTCTGGTTGCCCTGTCTCCCAGTTAGAATGTGAGCTCCTTGGGATGGGCTGCAGCTGGGTATCAGTGAGGTGAAGAAGAAAGGAAAGGACAGGAGGACAAGCTGCCAGTGGGTATAGTGTGGATGAACAGCCCAACGCCCTGCTTTGGAGCTGTCCCCTCATAGCCATCACTGACGATGATGACAGTGAGGACAGTGAGAGTCAGCACTCTTGGCACCTACTCTGTCAGCCCTACTCAGAGCACTTCACAGCTATGGGTTTACCCAGCAGGAAGGGATGACAGGTTGAACCTCCCGGAAAAACCCCATAGAAAACTTCTTAAGCACCAAGTAGTATATTCTACCCTTGACCTCATGTGATTGGTCACAGTCAAAATGCAGGTGTGTTCAAGACTTGCATGAACTCACCCTCAGTTGAATATACAGTATACATATACAATATGTATACTGTATATTCAACTCAATGAATTTCAGGTTTATTGATGGGTCTCACCCTCAAGACATGACATTATATAACATTCCCTAAACCTGAAAACATCCCAAATCCCACACACTTCTGATCCCACACCTTTCAGGAAAGCAGTTTTCAACCTGGATTGGAATCAGATAGGAAACTCAAGGCCCAAAAGTGTTAAATCCCTCTCCTGGGATTGCAAGTAGGCTGGTGGCAGGAATGGATTTAGGCCTCTTAAGCTGTGCTTTGTTGCCTCTTCCCAGCTTAGTGCAAAACCTCGCAGTGACTGGGCAAGGCTCCATGTTGGTTGATACATAGGTTTAAACACTTAGATGTGAATGAGGCAGCTCCAGAGCTGGCTGTGTCAGACTGGAGGAAAGACAGGGATGACAGGGTCTTGATAGACCAGCTCACTGCCCCCCTCAAAGGGAAGGTAAAGATCATTTAATTCTCTGCATGGCAGAACTTGTTCCACAGCAATGACCAGAGAAGTCTGTCTGGACCACAAGTATGTTGGAACAAACTCATACTGGTCCACCAGAGCCAACTGTACACAGATATCTTCTGAACTCCACATTTAGTGGCATCACATTGGTGGCTTAAAAGTGGCTATGGTACAGGTATTTATACTAGCCAACCCCACTGAGAGCATTTTTCCCACGGAGAGCTGCATGTTCCACATTAATCAGCACCTCTCCAAACAGGTGCCCACACCTTTGGGGAAAGATGACTGACTCAGCTAACCAGTTGTGATACATGCCAGAGTCAAATCTCTTGTTAAGAATCACTTTAAAAATAAAGTAGCCTTGGGTTTAAATGAAAAAACCGGTCCTTTGTAATGGGAGGCAAATTTCTAAAGAAGGAGAAATCTGTACAGTTTAGCATCTGTCAAAATTAAAATGCCTTTTTTTTTTTTTTTTTTTTTTTTTTTTTTTTTGTCTTTTTGAGACAGGGTCTCCCTGTAGCCCCAGCTATCCTGAAACTCACTATGTAGACCAGGCTGGCCTTGAACTCATAGAGATCTGCCTGCCTCTGCCTCCCAAATTGCTGGGATTAAAGGCGTGTGCCACCATGCCTGGCTAAAATGCCCTTAATGCCCTTGTTCTAACTGGAAAATGTCAGTTGGAAATGTATACAATTTACACCCCTGGGTCACCATTTGGGGTCAAGAGGCAGAGCACAGACAGCAACACAGGAGAGTGGATGGGGTCTGGGGAGAGGAAAGCACCGGCTCAGATACTTTCCAGCTTCGGTTGACCCTTCAGCTTGGTGTAGCCCTCACAGGAACAAGAATCTAGTCAAAACATTCCTGAACTCCAGAGCCATGAGGTCCCCCAGGATAAACTGCCCTGTAGCATGGTACTGTGATAGTCATATGTCACTTAATGACTGGGCATTATTTGAGAGATGCCTCTTGTGTGATTTTAACACCATCATGTGCTTATACAAACCTAGACAAATGGTCCACTGCATACCCACGCTACACAATGTGAAAAAAATACAGAGGTAGTCTAAAGCTCATAGGGCCACAATGAACAAAACATGAGAACTAATCACCTAAGAAAATGAGGCCATCAGGAGTCATGTTAAACGGATGGTGGACGAAGCTACTGCTGGTGAAACACAGTATACTGTTATAAGGAAATTTTCTTTTATTAAGCAGACTCTAATGATAAAAAGTACAGTAAACAGATAAACTAGTGAAAGGGTCATTTGAGATCATTAGTACCAGGCATGACTGTAACCCCACACATTGTACTTTCATGACTGGCAGCATAGCAGGCCTCTTTACAGCAGCAGCACCACACGCGCGTCGGGGAGGGGAGGCACTGTGCTTCCAATCTGCCATGGCCACATCGCTAGGTGACAAACTTTGCAGCTCCATCGTTACATGGGACCTGGCTGTGCACTCGACATATATTTGCTATTGCTATTATCAATCTTTCAAGTACCAGTCCTGAGATCCTCTCCCCTGGAAGCTTTCCTGACCCCTGGCTGAGGGGCCTCTCTTCTGTGCACTCAGAAGGCCCCCATGATCCTCCACACATGCTGCCTCACTCACTGTCCTGCTCTGTAGCTGATTATGAGTCTGTTTTCTGCATTGGTTAGTGTGACCTACAGAGTCTCGCTCACAGCTGTATCACACACGAGAAGGTGTCTGCAACACAGGTCTCCTCTGGACTCTAAGGGATGAACAGGAGTTAGGAGTCCAAGGGTTGGGGCGGCTGGTGCTGGACTTCTAAACCATGTGGATCTCAGCGGGCTGGAGTCAGCAGTCACTTCCATAGCAGCTGCAACCTTAGGAAGTGCCGAGAGGACAGTCTTGTCTAATAGCGTTCTGCTCTCTGTGGCTTGGGGTGTTTGGATATCTTATTTGTTTGGCCTTTAAAGGAAGGTATGGGCTGGGAGGGAGGCCAAGCAGCACTAAGGGGACATGTCCTTTCATGACTGAAGCAGAAGCTTCATCTGTCTGCAGTCACTCACAGACCTCTGAGAAGCTGGAGCCCACGAGAGACCCAGAAGCCACCCGCTTACAGGGGAGGCAGAGGCAGGTACCTGATCTTCCACCAGCCTTCCAGGTTCTTCTGGATAACCTCTACCACAGCCCCTCTCTCTAGGTTCACTTCATCCTGGTCACGAGCTGTGTACGGGTAGATGACTGTGTATTTCTCTTCTGTAGGGACAAAGGGTACTGGGGTAAGAAATGGACACAAGGTGTCCAGAATGCTGATTATGAATTGGAATGACACAGAAGGAAAATTTCCTCTTAGATTTCTGAGTCCTCCAGGCCCTCACTGAGTCCTGGAGTCCCCAGTCCCGCTGAAATCCTCATTTCTCTCAGATCAGTGCTACAAGGTCATGCTTCATGACCTCACACAACATTCTGACCCACAACATCCTCATCTTCCATGCTAAGGCTAATTCCCTCATTCCAGGAATTACCTTCTAACCAACATACACTTTTAAAATTTATTTTAAAAATATTTTTTTTGTTATTTTATATGTATGAGTGTATTGCCTGCATGTGTGTAAGTGCACCCATGTTGTACAATGCCTGTGGAGATCAGAAGAAGGCATTGGATCCCCTGGAACTGGACTTACGGATGGCTGTTGGCTACCACGTGGGTGCTGGGAACTGAACCCAGGTCCTCTGCAAGAGCAGCCAGTGTTCTTAACTGCTGAGCCATCTCTCTAGCCCCTAACTAATACATACTTATAACTGTTACATGTCTGTTTCCTCTGGGAGAATATGAGCTCCATGAAGGCAGGGATTGGTCTGTCTCATTCCTCACTTTCCAGCACCGGCACATGCTAGAATATCCAGTACCTTTTGTGAATGAGCCTCTGTTTAGTGAAGGAACACATTTCCAAGGCCTGGCGGGAGGCATCTTTCTCACACAGTGAGTCACACCCTCTGGGGCTTCTGCTTACCAGCTCTTCTTGGTGGAGACCAAGAGTTCAAAGATAAGCTGAAATTGCCACCATGGGAATGGTTAGCAATTCTCATCACCTAGAGAGTGACTAGACTGCATTTTTCAGTGGTCATGTGCCAGCCCTGATCTGACCAAGCATGAAGCTTCACATTTCACCTGTGTGGCTGGGTTGCTTCCCACCCACTCTTCCCAGAAGCCACAGCACCATCCTTACAATTCCACACTCCCCCGGAAAGCTGCCTCCAGCTGTCAACACAGCAGCCCAGAGGTCCTGTTCATCAACATACTTGGGCAGGGTGCTCAGGAGAGCAAGGTAACAGTTCCCATCCCCAGTGCCAGCTCTGGCTGTTGACAGAGAAACAAGAATGTGTGTCCCAGGGGAGCCCTGGAGGAAGAGAGGGAGGGCTGTTCTTAGATTACACTTCAGTCCACAGATGAGCAATCAAACCAGCCATGGCCTAGTGCCTCTGGTTCATATCTCCTTGGAAAACTCTTAAAGCATCCATGGCCAGCCAGCTGCTGCAGAGGGGGTGGAATCCACACAGGCATTTGCTTATTTATAGATCTAGCCTGTTGACCTGCTCTGAGGGGGCTGAGCTGATTCGTGGCACACATTCTGTGTTCAGTATGGTCAGCTGGACTGGGATAGGAGGAAAGAGGGATTCTGCTGTCCAGGTACTGAAGTTTCGTGTGGTTGAGGTGGGAAGGGCATAGCCCCGCTCCTTATCTGAGTGCCTTTAGCCCTAAGAGCCTTGGAGCCCTGGGTCCCCTCACACTCCGGGATGCTAGAAATGCTGAGTGACTCCATCTAAGTACAGGGTAGCCCTTGTCCGGTGCATGAGGGGTGCCTGCCCCTCTGCTGGGGGTTCCATCAACCTCATCCACATGGTGTGGGATGGCTGAGCCCCGTACCTCCTGGGGCGTGCGTGCGTGCGTGCGTGTGTGTGTGTGTGTGTGTGTGTGTGTGTGTGTGTGTATGTGTGTGACCCTGGCCTGGTCTCAGCCCTGCAAGCCCTGGCTACTGTGATTGGAAATTGGATTAGGGATGGCACACAACAGGAAGACTAAGCAGAAGATTGTGAGCCACCAACCTGGCTTTTCATAGTTTTTGCTTATCCTGATTAGTGTGGACTTTCACTGTGACTCAGACAAGCCTGGTAAAAGTAACTGGCTGCTACTTCGGCTTCATAGAAGCCCCGGGCATCATTTTTAAGGTGGGAAACTTCAGCCCCAAGGTAGTCAAACACCCCAGGCCCGCTCCTCCCCAGCCTGCATGCCAGCACACACAAGACAAGACCATGTTGTTCACATGCAGCAGGCATGGCAGTCTTGGAGCAGGGAGCTCATGCAGATGCAGGGACCTAGCTCCAAGTACCACATGGGGAGAAACCTCTCAGGGTAGGCACCTTGACGCCAGCTGATGGCATACAAGTCCCCCAGAGTCCGGCGGCGCCCCGTGGGCCGGGGCAGAGAGCAGTACCTCCAGGAGACTGGCCAGGCAGCATGTGGAGGGGAGGGCAGAAGGTAGAGTTAAGAGGAGAACACCCCCAGATAGGCCCAGGGAGCCCCAAACACTGTTCCCCTAGGAGGGATATACCTGAGTCTGTTCCCAGTCCTAGGTGTCTTAGAAAGGCCAAGTATCTGACTATTAAGCTTCAACTTGAATGAAGATATGTCCAGCACACAGAAACCTATTCCTCTTATGACTATGTAGTGAAATTATCATTCATAGTTGAGGAAAGGGAAATGCCTAAACTTGTAGGAAAATGTGGTCTTGCCCATCCTCTATCTATGTGGCCCTGGGCAAATCTCTTGCCTTTCTGGATGGCTCCCCATCTGTGAAATGGGACTAAAAGTCAGTCCTTTCGCAGGCCTGCCAGGGTGGGCACTACAGACTGTAGAAGGGAACTTAGGTTCCTTGCAGTGTACCACCTCCCTTAATCTGAGATAAGTCTGTGGTATCCTGTGCTAGCCTCACCCTGAGCTCCGGGAGGGCCCTTAAAACAGAGCAAACCAACTCTACTCTTTTTCCTGATACATATGCTTAGAGAGGCTTTGTGCTTTCTTAGAACAGTTCTACTGGAATCCTACTGAGGCAGGACCTCAGTTAGCTCTCTAAAATCCCCTGACATAGATCTCATCATTTCTATTTCCAGCAGAGAAGGCTTTAGAGAAGTATCTCTGGCACAAGGCTACTCAGCATGTGGCACAGGTGAGATTCAAACTCAGGTCTGCTTGACTCCCAAGCACCTGTGTGCTAATGAAGACAATGCATGCTTCAGCTTTAGGAAGCTTCTAGGGGCAGAGAGAGGGAGTTGTGGGCCTTATCACTGCTGGCATGGCATCACCACACAAGACATCTACCGTGGGGTAGCCCCAGGAAAAGGAATTGTGTGGGTGAGAGGAGGGAACACTTACAATAACACAGAGAGTAGATATATTTAAAAAGACAGGGTTAAAGGTTTCACAAATGGACCAGAGCAGATCCAGCATCTTGGCCACAAGAACAATGCTAACGGAAGTAGGGGGGGGGTCGGTAGCAGTCAGGCTGGGGTCCCATGAAAGTATTGGAGCCTAGCTTTGACAAAGCTCACCTAGTGTGGCTCCCACAAGACCCTAAGAAAGAACAGGATTGTCCTACAGCTCTAATTCCATCCAATTCATAGGCTTTGGATCCTTAGCCAATGAGCTACCAAGTCAGGAGCAGAGGATGCTGGGAAGAGATGAGTTGGGAGCTCCCTCCTACCTTCCTCGGGCTGGAGGGAAAACTCATCCTGCATGCCATCCTGGCCCTCGAGGCAGGTCGCAGGGACCCAGCCTTGTTCTTCAGCAGTGCTGACAAACCACCAACCTGCAAGTGACAGGGCAGGGTGCTGTTAGTGGGGCCAAGTGAGACTGTAGTAACTCAGCTGTCCCCGGGCATGTAGGGGACTGTTCCAGAGATTCCCCAAGGGCAGAAAATTCTCACAGCTCCAATCACTCATACAAAGGGTATAGTACCCACCTAGGACCCACCCATACCCCATAAGACTTTAAATCATCCATATGTGACTCAACATACTAATACAATGTCAGTGCTATGAACAGTTAGAATGTATGTTTAGGGGAAACAACAAGAAAAATGTCTGGATATTGAGCACAATCCCATTTTTTTTTTCCTTGATTTTCTATCCATGGGTGGTTGCGTTCAAGGATGTAGAATCCATGGATGTGGAGGCTGACTGTATATTTAGACACTCTTATCAGTTAATGCTCAGGTTAGGTTAAAAAGTTACCATTTCACTGGTAGTTACCATTTCACTACTAATAGTAACTGCTAACTGCTAAAAACAAATAACTTGCTCCTGAGCCTGGGGTCGGGGGTGAGGAAGGCTGTCCTAAGTGAGGAAACTATAAAATGTTCTGGTGTGCAATGAACTTATCACTGTGCTTGCATTCTATTACATAATCTTCACATTACTGCCCCTGTTGCACAATGAAGAAACTGAGGCACAAAGAGGAAAAGAGATGTCACCATGTTCACAAGCGTGAGGCAGAGCTGTGGTTTGTGACTAGGGTTGTCTGATCCTAAAGGCACCAGCCTCAAAATGTACTGAGACAGACCGTGCCTGCCCTGCCCCATGTCAAGGAGAATCTGGCCACAGGTACGACTGCTTGACAGGCCTTGCATTCATACCAGGTGTTCCTGAGGAGAAAGGCTGGTGTGGGCTGAGAGAGGTGGTGCAATACCACCCCCAAAGATGTCCGTACCCTAATCCCTCAGTATCTGTGGTTTCTACATTCACAGTTCACCAACCATGAAATAAAAAATACTCAAACAAACTTATATACATGCAGACTTTTCTCCTGATATATTATTCTCCAAACAGTAAAGTAACTATTTACATGGCACTTACATTACATGAAGCATCCTATCAGCTAGGGAGGAGACTGTGCAGTGGTCAGATGCAAACGTTCTGCCAGTTTACATTTGAGACTGGAGCATCTGCAGATTTGAGGTTCCACAGGGGTCTGGGAACCAGTTTCCCCTGGACACAGAGGGACTGTATAATTCAAAATAAATGTTACTAGTATGTTGGCTATTTGAGGACTTGGACATGTTGCCAGTGTGCTGGCTGTTTGAGGATCTGAACATGTTTTTGTTTTGTTATGGCCACCCCATGGACAGCCAATATACCTTCCTGATCTCTACTCTTCCCAGCAGCTCATCCTGGCAGCCTGGGGAATGGGTGCCCTGTTCTTCATGACCTCTGCTATGTCCATGCCATATGACCAGTGTATATCTCCCCTTGGGAACTAGAGTGATTGGGACTCTAGCTCTACAGCCCGTTGAGACCCAGGTGTGAATGAAGGGTCATTTGGAGTCCTGTTCACTCAGCATGGAACAGGGATTAAAATGAGATGATGTGTATTTTCAGTTTTCAGTCATGGGTCATTATCCCCATTGCCCTCATACTTCCCAAGATGGGGCCCTTTAGACCTCAGAAACAGGACTTGGGACACAGTGTCTCTGATCTCCTGCCTGCTGGCACATGCTTTCTTCAAGGCAGGCCATGGAAGCTACGACTTCTCTCCCTTAAGGGAAGTCACAGAAGTTAAAACTATGCGCTAATCTTTTCCACTCTGGAGCTGCTGGCTATAAAGAAATTAAATTCTCTGACCTACTTTGGTAGTAAATCACAAGACCCCTATTTTAGAAGAGTTCCTACCCTGTACCCTGGGGTGCTGCACAAAGGCCAAGAAGAATCTGGGCAGGCAGGCCTGGCTGGGTTTCCCATTGTCTATTAGCATTCAACCAGACCCCTATTCATAATCACAGGTCAACACAGCTATCAATTGTGCTTATGCAATGAAATCTCCTAAGAACCCCAGGAGTTGGGAGAGTGTCTACAGAGCCAAACACATAGAAGTTCCTGGAGGTCAGCACCCAGAGGGGGCATGGAAGCTCAGCATCCTTCCCATGACTTGCTCTGTGCATCACTTCACCTGTATCCTTTAGAACATCCTTGGTAATGCACCAGCAAGCATGTTTCCCTCAGTCATGTGAGTTGCTCAAGCAACTTAATAGAACCAGAGAGGGGCTTGGGAACCATGATTTCTAGTTAGTTGTCAGAAGCACAGGGAAAAACAATTTGGCTTGTGCTGGCATGGGGAGTAAGAGTGGCCTTGGGGACTGAGCTTTCAACATGTGGGACCTGACACTACCTCTAAATGGACAGTGTCACAACTGAATTGGATTAAGAACCCCCAGCTGGTGTCTACTGCAGAAGTGAGCGCTGCTTGCTGGGCTGAGAAATGACCTAGGTTGAGGAAGTAGAGTGGGGGCTCTGAGACGAGGCTAAAGTAGGCATTCCCTCTAGATCCTCAGAGCTAGGATTTCTAGATTGCATAATTAAGGGGGTTTGTTTGGTTGACACAGGCCTCGTGACTAATGGTGACATGACCTGGAGGATGCCAGAAACATCGACTTCCCTTATTCTTGGAAGCAGGGATCATCCCTAGATTGCGCAGTTACTGGGCTTGGTTGGCTAATGCTGGTCTTATGATTAACATGAATAATGGCAACATGACTCAAAGGATGCTGGAAATGCTGTCTTTTTTTAAAAAAAATATTTATTATTTTTATCTTATGTGTATGCATGTATTGCCTGCATGTAGGTAAGTGCACCCGTGTCGTGCAATGCCTGCGGAGGACAGATCCCTTGGAACTGGAGTTACGGACAGTTGTTAGCTGCCATGTGGGTGCTGGGATTCGAACCCGGGTCTTCTGCAAGAACAACTAGTGTCCTTAACCACTGAACCACCTCTCCAGCCCCTGGAAATGCTGTCTTAACTAGCCACTGGGCTATCATAGAACTTGGCCCCTAATGAGAGGATGAGCCAACGCCACTTAGAAAGGCCCTCTGTCCTACCTTACTCCTACCTCCTATTAGGAACCCAGTGGGAGAGAGGGGCTGCTCATTCCCTATTCTCCCTCCATGGTGTGATGGTGGCTTTGTTGCTAATGAAGGAACAGGGAAGAAAACCCATGTTTTTGAAAGACCTAGTGTTTGCCAAGTTCAGGTTTAGGCACTCTCTCTACAGTTGCCTAATTTAAACTTTCAATAGTTCTTTGGGAGTTTTCTGTATGTTGTAGATTGGAAAACTGATGGTCAAAGACTCGAAGCAACCTGGACCAGCATGCAGAGTGAATTCAAGTGGAACCCTGACCCTGTGGAATCACCCCCCCCACCACCAGTGGATGGGGTCAATGAACCCTGAGATGGCAGGTGCCCAACCCCCCTTGGCAGTTTCTTCAGGTTTTTTGAGACAGAGTCTCTTTATGCAGCTCAGGCTAGCCTAGAACTCGAGGTCCTCCTGTCTGCACTTTTCAAGTGCTGGGCTTATGGGCATGTGCAACCCCTCTTGGATCTGAAGCCTTCTTGAGGACTCCCAAGGGCAGTCAGAGGAAATCAACAAGAGCATTTCCAGTGGAACACCGACTCTGTGACTTAAGTACTTGAAAACCAGAAGGAATGTTTATGGAATGTGAACCTCAGGACAAATTGGGAACATCTGACCCAACAGGCTGCTGAGAGGGTGGCCAGGAGCCATCAGCAGATCTGGGGAGACAGTCCAGGCTGGGCTGCTTATTTGTTTTAGTTTCCCTGTGTTTCTGGTTTGTGGGGCTGGGTGACAGTGCAGGGTATGAGGGAGGTGGTCCCGGTTCCTACCTGACTCGTTCTTCTCGATGATGTCAACCACCTGTCCCACACTGAGGCTGATCTCTGAGCTCTCCTGCTTCTGATAGTTTGCGACCACCACATACTGCTCCAGGACCATGGGGTCCACCGAGGTCAGGTCATTCCCTGTGGACAGCAAATGCCAACAGATGCCCATGCATGGAGGGGCATGAACTAGGGGCGGAGGGCAGGGGGACTTTTCTAAGCAGAGAAAGAAGTTTGCACAGGTTTGCCTCAGGGGTGCCCCCACTGTCACATTCTTTGATTCACTTGCTTAGTCAACCACCGAAGATGATGAAGAACAGATTCTGTGCAAGCTCTGGGGATTCCAACTTGAGTAAGATCCAATTCCAGCACAGAGACTGTTGGCCTAGTGGGAAAGCTCATGGAAATGGTTTGAATGTTCTTCTACTCATCCAACCATCCAGCCACTCTTCATATATCCAGCTTCACGCAAAATCCATCTATGAACTCATAAATCACCAGTCATGTTCCAAACTCTGTTGTGCCATAAGTGCAAAAGTCGGTGAAAGAGGGGACTGATTCCCAGTCTCAAGTAACCCAAGCTAGTCAGAGAGATGGACACAGAAAGTGTGTGCATGCGTGTGTATGTGTGAGAAATCAATGTCTCTATCAAGTTATGCATCAATGTGGAAACACCCAGGACACCAGGACAGAGAATAAACAGAAAAGGCAAAGCTGTACCAAATAGGTGGTCAGCAAGACTTCCCAAGGAGTGACAGAAAGCAGACACCTGAGACAGCAGGCATCCTGGGAACAGGGGAGGACTGGGGAAAGCAGTCTCCCATGATGGGAAAGGCCTGAGAGCCTTCTGGGATAGAAGGAGAGAGAGAGGTCCCTGTGGAAACTGGTCTGAGTTCAAGGCCTTTAGGACAATACGTCTGTGTGTTTTAATCTGGAAGTAGGAATTCATGAAGAGTAGGGAGGGAATGGTGAGATCTATGCTCTGAAAAGTGCCTCTGGCCACCAGGTGGAGGTAGCAGAGCCTGGCAAAAGGCAAGCACACCAGATGCAGGGTGCAAAGTTGTTAGGCAGGAGGCAATGGTGGCTTTGGAGCTGGTCAGTGGCAGCCGGAAGGGAAAGCTGTGGGAGGTGTTTCTAGGAAGGTGGCTTCTCCAGCATGCAGTGTGGATGGCACCCCTGGAGCTGTGCAGCCCTGTTACCTACTAAGAGTGTCTTTCATAGGCTGCACACCATCTCTAGCCTTCCTGGCACCACTGCGCTTGAGGTGGGCACTGCCACTCATTACAGACAAGAACAGAGGCTAAGGACACTGAGTCACTTGTCCTGGACTAAGCAGCTGGTTACCTGGTTCCATAGCTGTGGCATGGATGTGAGGGGTGACAGGGATGGAGGGCCGTTCTTTCTCAGGGCCCACCCCAGGTTCCATCCAGCTGTCTTCTTTCTTTGCATTTTTCTACTCCCAGCCCTCTGTCACCCACCACTCCCCACAGGCCAGGCTGCAGAAAACAGTCTATGAAAGCCAGCCAGCTGCTTAGGCTGGGGCCTGAGACTTGGCTGGCCCAGTCCCACAGGAGAGAAAGTGTGTGGAGGACCTGCCTGTCATCCTAACACAGCACTTCCTGCTCCTCAAGGACTGAGCAGGGAGTCAGCGAATGCAAGATGGACTCCTGGCCACTGCCCTGGCCGTTTCAAGTAAGGGCATTTTCCTGTGAGTTCGACAGAAAAAAACTAGAGTCCACAATGGGTAGAGCCTGTCTGAGGGTCAGAAACCCTTCAGCCAAATGGGAACCATCTATTCTTGGCCTCTTAACTGGTTCCCTCTCAGGCTGTTCCTGATCCTACAGCTAGAGGGATCCTTTGGCTAGATCACCTTCCTCCAGACAAGGCTCTGCTATGGCTCTCACCTCACTCAAGCCCAGGGCCACAAGGCCCTGCCCCATCCACCTTTGGCAGCTCATGAGACCTCATCTCCACTCCTCCATAAGGGACAGAACACTACTCATCCTGTTCTCTTTCATCTGCAGTACCATGACTGCTGATTTCTGGCTGGCCACATGGCCGCTTGGAAAAAGACCACTTTCCACTTGGGAATGGTATGACACTAACTTACAGTCAATGGGATATAAACAGAAGTGTCCTTATGCAAAGAGGCTTGCCCTATTTCTCCCTGTATTCGTTACTCCTGGCCTAAACATGAATGTGATAGCTGGTGCTGCAACAGCCATCTTGGGCTATAAGATTAACCTTGAGAATGCTGATCGTGAATAACAAAACAGTCAAGATAGGACCTCAGGTCCCTGTACCATCGAAGCCTGTGCCACTCCTGGATCTTTGTGTTTCAACTAATAAGAAGCAAATTAAATTGTTTAAGCTACAGTCCTTTGGGATTTTCTGCCACTTGTACTCCAGTCTAACACATCTATACACTATGTCACCAGACCTAGCCAGGAGTCTCACCACTGTATTTCTTAAGAGTGTGAAGCACCTGTCTCCTCAGGGAACTCTGTTTTCTGTTCCCTCTGGGAATACCTGGTTTTGTTTCTTACCTAGTTTTGTTTCTTTTCACATTGCTTTTTAATTTTTTTAAAAAAGATTTTGTTCTTATTATTTTAAATTATATATATGTATGTATGTATGTATGTGTACATGTGTGCAGGTGCCTGAGGAAGCCAGAGGCATCGGATTCCTCAAAGTGAGCTGGAGTTACAGGTGGTTGTTGAGTCACCTGACTTGGGTGCTGGGAACTGAACTGAAATCCTCTGCAAGGGTAGTGTGCACTCTTAACCGCTAAGCCACCTCTCCAGCTCTTCCACATTGCTTTAAAAAACAAAATCATAGGTTTGCCAGGAGTGGTAGCACACACCTTTAATCCCAGCACTTGGAATGCAGAGGCAGGTAGATCTCTGTGAGTTCAAGGCCATCCTGGTCTACAGGGAGATCCTGTCTCAAAAAAGGCCAAAAAAAAAAAAAAAATCATAGGTTGCACGAATCTATTTGTCTCCTGGCTGTGTAGAAACAGAAGGTTTTAGATAGCCAGGAGTGTCAGAGCATGTGAGCGAGTAGACGGGCTGTCAAAGAGGATGTTCACTTGTATGCAACTTACCATTGCTTCTGAGATACTCTCCCCTTCCCTGTGGGCTTTTAGAGTCCAAGGAAGAGGTAGTTTGGTTCCCCCCATGCCCCGAAGGAATGAGGAACCCTGTAGAATCTGCTTCATTTAGAATGCTATCGTGAGTGTCTGGTTTTCTATTCTGGCTTAGATGCCTATGTTCCAACAGGAAGCCAGGGACTTGTCTCTGGTTTGAAGTACTTTTGAGGTATGTAGGAGGAGGAAGAGGAGAAGAAGAATGAACAATAACATTGTTATTAGTGAAAGATACCATATATGGACTATAATATGTAAATTTTTTATATCTATTATCTGGCTGTTTAGAAAGACATATGTGAATGCATGGCCTAGACCATGGATGGCATCTAACAGGGCTAAATCAATACTTGGATGGAAGAAAGATTGTATATTTTGATTTATCTTTTAAATTTTAATTTATGTATGTGTGTGTGCCTGCATATAGGTATGTGCACGTGAGTGCAGGTGCCCTTGGAGCCCAGAGGAGTTGGATCCCTTGAAGCTGGAGTTACAGGCAGTTGTGAGCCTCCTGATGTGAGTGCTGGGAACTGAACTCTGGTCCTCTGCAAGAGCACTATGTGTTCTCAACCTCTGAACCACCTCTTCAATCCAAGAAAGAATATTTTAAAACTTGGATTTAAATGACTTCCTACCTCAAGGAGAATCAGAATACCTCCTCTCTTGTTTTATTTTGACCAGGCACCAGTTTCCTGCAAGGCTGGGAAGGCATTTCCCATATCTTGTTTGGCTCGGCATTCCCTGGGGAACCAGCACTGCCAGGCACATAGTAGGGACTTAATAAATACTGAATGAGAGAATCAGGGACTCATGAGGTAAGAAGTTGCCAGCTGTGGGCAGAGTGCAGGGCTTAGGCCTCTGGCTGGCATGAGGGAGCCTGGGCTCAGCGCCAGCCCAGCTCCTCCTTCCTCTCTAATCCCTGCACTGGGCTTTATTTAGGTTGTTCCACACTGCGGAGCTGTGATGTGCTTCACAGGCGAGTCAGGGAGCTGCTTCTCAGCACTGCTTCCAGAGAAAGCGGCCCACATTTTACTCGGCACTCTCCACTTAGCAAAACTGAACAAAAAGTCTCTTTGAAGTGATCTGATAGGAGTCTTAAATTAGGTTTCAGACTATTTAGATGCCACATAGAGACCCCTACTGGTGGAGTGTGATATTGCAGCTAAGCTCTATAATGCTTGGCAACTGGACACCTCAAAGCTGAGGTAGACAGTAAATTTATTTCCCCAGTTGCTATGGATGAGATCAAAAGATTCCTAAGGGTTCAGAAGGAAGTCCAAAAGACAGAGGAGGAAGAAGGGGGTAGATTGACAGTGGAAGGATGATTTTTATCATTAAGTGTTAAAAACTGGCTGTTCTTGCAAAAGACCCAGGTTTGAATCCCAGCACCCACATGATGGATGGCTAACAACTGTCTGTAACTCCAGTTCCAGGGGATATGACAGCCTCTTCTGTCCTCCTCGGGCACTGCACAACACAGGTGCACTTACCTATGTGCAGGTAGTACATGCATACACATAAAATAAAAATAATAAAATACTTGAAAAAAATTCTCAAGCGGTACAGCTCCTAACCCACCACAGCAGCTTTCGAGCTGGAGATTTTTTTTTCCTTTATGATGATATGTCTTGAATTTTTTAAAATGATGAGTAATGGCAAAATGTAATTTCCCTTCCAGAAATTCACTAAATTGCCAGGCTTGCTGGAAAAATCTGTAAACAAGTGAAATCAAGAAGAAAACTGCTCCAAGCAATCAGATGACCTGCCCCACTGAGGCGGGCTGTTTTTTTCCCTCGGGATGAGCAGAATTTGGGGCCACATAAGCCAAGTCTGTGGGAGCCAGCTGGGCATGACAGGGCACTGCTGGAAACAGACAAGACTCCAGTTCAGAGTCTGGCACAGAATCCGCAGGAGTAAAGTCTGTTAGCTTAAATCTCTTTAAAAATTCAATCAAGAAGGCCTGCTTTAAGATCAAGGCAGTGTTCAGAGGTCAGATAAAAATAAGTAACCCAGAGTGGGTTCTGAGTCTGAATAAAGATGCCGCGTTCCATCCAGTGGAACTATAAATAAAACCGTGCCCCATCATTGCAGGAGAGTGATGTCAACCACAGTGACCACAAATTAAAGCTACAGCTCTCTCTTCCAGACAGGTCCCCTCATCAAGCCTGGTCCAACTGACACTGTTTTCATAAACCAGAGCTGTCTCCTTCCTCCTTCCCTCTGGCTCCTCTGCAATCCCACGACTAGCCCAGAGTACCAGCTGCTCCCTACTCTTTGCTAAGAAAAGAAACTTGTCATTATCCTGGGCTGAGAACTATTTGCAGGTCTAGCAGGATACCACAGCTGTGGCCAGCACCCATCAGACCCCAAAGGAGAGCTGAAGGCAGACCGCTGGGCAAAGGGCCAGAACCAATTCTGGATGTCACACCTCGAGGAAAGAGGCCTGGCTCCTGTCTTCACTCTCTGTTAAGGATGGCCTAGAGCCTGTAAAACTGGCCCAGCCTTACTCCCAGGAGGAAAGGGAACCCAGGCCTGAGATGTGGAGTTGCCACTGATGCTGGGCAGGGGCATCCATGGGCTTTGTGTAAACCAGGATGACAACAGCATCAAATAGATGTGCCAGTGTGGCAGGCACCATTCAAGTGCTTTACATATATTATAAATTCTGTAACAATTCTATAAAGCAGATGACTAGCATTTTTTTTTGTGGTGTAGGAACTAGAACCCAGGGCCTTGGGCATGTCAGGCAAGTGCTTTACCATGGAGTCACAACCCAGCTCCCAATTTCACACATGAAGAAACTGAGGCAAAGCCATCCATTTTCATTTCTGGAATCTGCTTATGCCCCATCCTCCTAATCTACTGAGCCCTTCAAACTTCCTGGCAGTCTAGGAGATCAAAGAGGCCACGGTTCTGGAAGTTCTGAAGCTCATGCTGGCTGCGGTCCAGCAGTTGCCTGCAGGATCACAGGTGGTGGGGAGTTGGGCTGCTGGAGACCTCTTTAGAATGCAAAGGTCTGTGAGAACTCTCTACCCTCCCACCCCCCATCTTCTCCTATCCGTAAGTGCCTCTGCCACAAGCCTAGCACCATCCTAAGAACAGAAAGGTGGCTGGAAGAAAGCACTCTTCAGGAGAGAGGAGGCAAATGGGACTTGTGTGACAGGCATCAGGTACTGCCCATGACAGCAAAACTGAAGCAACCTTAGAGGCAGGCAGGGGCTGAGGCTGAGGATCAGGTCCAGGTCTGCAGCTCAGTCCACCTCCCAGTCCTGGTGCTCTCTGCCCCTTCAGCCAGGAAGGTCCTTTGGTCTGCAGAAAGTTTTTGTTCAATGGCATGATCCAGGGCTCCTCTCCTCTCTCCCTTCCACTACCTAAGAAGGCTCTGAGCACCCACATTGCTTTGCTCAAAGTGGGATAAAGGGCACTGATCCACTGTAGCATTATTAGGAAGATGTGTGTCTTCCAATGCCACAGAGGGCTCATCTCATTCACTTTGTAGTATTATTGGTATGGGATGAAACAGCCTCAAATCCTTCTTTTGGGAAACAGGGTAGTGTATTAGTCAATCAATCAAGTATCAGCTCACCTGTCCTCTCACCCATCTACCCACCCATATATACACATAGCTACCCATCCATTCATCTGTTCATCTATCCTTCTACCCACCCACCCATTCATCCACCAGTCTACTCACCCATCTGTCCATTCACCAGTCCACTGATCCATACATTCATCTATCCATTCACTCATCCACTAATCCATTCATCCATCTTCCATCCATCCATTTATTCACCAATCCACTAATCCAAATATCCATCTATTCACTTACCTATCCACGAATTCATCCATCATCCATCCATCCACACATCCATCCATCCATTCATCCACCAATCCATCTATCCATTCATCTACCGATCCACTAATCCATCCATCTATCTCCCTATCCACCCATCCATCCACCCACCAATCCATCTATGTATCTCTTCATCCACCAACCCATCCATTTATTCATCTATATATCCACTTAGCCATCCAAGCACGTACTCCTCATCTATCTATCCACCAACCATCCATCTGCTCTGCTGTGTCCCCAGTGTGGAGCCCAACATCTGGCATATGGCAGGAATGAAAAGAAGAAAATAGGATGCATGCTTACCTGATTTCTTCTTCCCAATATGCTCCCTGTACAGGAGAAAATGGGAGTGAGAAAAAGCATTGAGTCAGTCCCTGTTGTGTATTGACATAAGATTCCATTAGGACACAGAGTCTCCATCCCACAGCACCCTCAGTAGGTGAATCTAAGATAACTCAAGGGTCCCAGGCATCTTCTAAGAGAGTTCCTTTTTGATTGTGCCTGGAGCCTGGGACCAAAGGTTCTGTGCATCTGAGAGTGGAGGACCCTGGGAAAAAAAGGGCTACACAGCTGAGAACAGGGGCCAGGCCCATGTGGACCCTTAACAGGCACAGAAGTTTCTTCTCCACTTTTGGGCTCCTGAAAGCCACAGATTAAAGCAGAATGTATTTGGTCAGAAAAGGTGCAGAACACACTGAACCATGGCAGAAGTCTGGCCAGCAGGACACAGCATGCATCCCTGGATCAGTGGCCCAGAGGACACCACTGTGGGCCAGACTATACAGTGATCTCTCTGCTTTTGCCAACCATGTAAGAGTTTATAAATACATCCGTGTTATAAGTAAAATACAAAGTGTTTACCAAGAATTGTGACTTCATTTATTTATTTAGCAGTACTGGGGATGGAACCTAGGGCCTTGCACACGCAACGTGTTTCACCACTGAGCTACACCCCCAGTCCTACAAACAAAGTGCCTTAAAATAAACAATATCAGCACTGTTTCCAGTGGTTGGGCTGGGCTGGATGCTGTGGCAACAGCAGCCTCATGTAGTGATTATTAAACACGACCCCTCTGTGCCTGTACCTGGCCAGGTACTTTTAGTTCATTCATTTAATACAAGAACCAGAGGAAATAAGTCCTGTTTTATTCCCACTTTACAGAAGAAGAAAATGAGGCAGAGATGAGTTAAAGAGTTTGCTTAAGGCCACACAGCTAGTACTCCAAGTCAGGATCTGAGCCTAGTTCTGTTTGTTTGTTTGCTGTTGAGACACTGTGTAGCCATGGCTGGCCTAGAACTCTCAGAGATTCACCCACCTCTGCCTCCCAAATTCTGGGTTAAAGGTGCATAACACTACACCAGGCTATGTTTTAAAATTGAGATACAATTATCATAGCATAAAACCCATCCCTTAAAAGCATACAATCCACTAATTTTTGATATATCCACAACCATTCTGCAACCATCCCTACCTAATTCCAGAACACTTATATCATCTCCCAAAGAAGCCCTATCTCTGTTAGCAGCCCTTCCTCCCTGCCCATCTAATGCTTTTTGAATGATTATCTCCTTCGGGTATTTGTAGACGTGGAATCATACAACAAATGGGACTGTGTGTCTGGATTCTTCCACTGAGCATACTTTCAAGATTCATCCACATTGTAGTATGAGTTAGTATTCTACAGCTTTTTATGGGTGAATAATATTCCACAGTGTGGATATTCCTCATTCTATTTATTTGCTAGCTGGTGGGTATGTGAGCTGTTCCTGCTTCAGGCTCTTCTGAGTGAGGCCACCATGAGCATCTGCAGAGAAGCTTTTGCATGGACATCCATTTTCATTTCTTTTGGTTATATACTGAATAATAGAGCTGCAGGATCCCATGGTAACTTTAACTTTCCAGGTGGTACTACAGCAGCTGTACCACCTTACATTCCCACTAGCTATACAAGAGAGTTCCTATTCTCCACCTGTTGACAACACCTGCCATCCACCCTTAGGTCATGGCTCTCCAGTGCTCCGTGCATAATTTTAAAAAATAATTTATTATTTTTATTTTTTTCTTTTGACGTTTTTTTTTTTTTTTTCTTTTTCGGAGCTGAGGACCGAACCCAGGGCCTTGTGCTTCCCAGGCAAGCGCTCTACCACTGAGCTAAATCCCCAACCCCTATTATTTTTATTTTATGTGTATGGGTGTATTGCCTGCACATAAATGCATCTGTGTCACGCAATGCCCTCAGAGGTCGGAAGAGGGCCTCGGATCCCCTGGAACTGGAGTTACAGCTCGTTGTTAGCTGCCATGTGGGTGCTGGGAACCGAATTCAGTCCTCTGCAAGAGCAGCCAGTGCTCTTAACTGCTGATCCATCTCTCCAGGTCCCTGGATTTGTATCTCTCAATGGCTAAGGGTGGTCAGTGTGCTCCTTCATCATTTGTGTGTCTTCTTCATCTAGTCAATGTCTGATTTTCCAGTCTGACTTGAAGCACTGTGTGAAAAATGCTTCAAGGTTGCCGGGCGTGGTGGCGCACGCCTTTAATCCCAGCACTCGGGAGGCAGAGGCAGGCGGATCTCTGTGAGTTCAAGGCCAGCCTGGTCTACATAGTGAGTTCCAGGACAGCTGGGGCTACAGGAAGACCCTATCTCAAAAAGACCAAAAAAAAAAAAAAAAAAAATGCTTCAAGGCATTCTCAGGTGAGGGCAGAGCTAAACTGACTCCAGGAAGTTTGGTCTGGGTGGAGTGAGTGGGGAGGCCCTGGAGTGGGTTGGGTGGGCTGGTGGTGACATGTCCAGCCAGAAGCAACCTCCAAGAGCTGAACTTCCTACCTTGTTGTGTGGGGCAGGCAAGGGTAAGTGGGAGGACTCAGCTTGGCTTCACTGGCCCTTGCTATGTTCTGGGTCCTGGTTGGAAAGTTCTACTGGACTAATTCATCAAATCCTCCTGATGGCCCTTTGCATTGTACAGATGGAGACACTGAGGCCCAGGGATGTGGAGTAGTTCACCCTGGACTGCAGCTCAGGTCTGGCTGGAGCCTGCTCTGACCTAATCACTACCTTAGACTGCCCTGTGTTCATGAAGTTCCCTTTCAGCTGTGGCTCCACGTCATATGAAATGAGCTCCTCCAGGTTGCTTCTTCCTCCTGAAATGGCCATGACCCAGGCTGTGCAGGCCCCTACTCCTGATGCAGGGTCCCTGTTCCAGCTGTGGCAAGGGTGAGGGCAGCAGGGGCATCCCAATTCAAGCAGCAGCAGTATGCCATCTTCAAGCAGGATATGCCCTTCTGTGTGACACACCTGGGTACTCAGGTGCACATGGGAGCAAAGCATCCCACAAGAACACTGTCTAGAACCCATCCTCTCCCCACCTTGTAACTGGTAAGAGACTCAACTTCTAGTACAGGTCCTAACTTGAGTATGAACTTCCAGATCCAACTAAGAAAACAACCTCAATGAGAGGTCACCTCTGTGATTAGATCTTCTCCTAAACCAGCAACTGGCCCAACTGAGACTCCTTGCTGGGGCCCAGAGGCCCTCCTCGGGGCTTCAACCTTCTTCCCTTCCCCTCTTTGTGACCCCCTGTCTTCTTCCCTTCCAGCTAAAGCCTGGCCAAGGACAGGAGGGCGGATCTAGGAAAGCACCTGCTCTCAGTGGCCTGACTGGTCTTTTTCCTCCATGGGCCTGGATGTTACCTAATTCTTTCAACCAACCTTCTTAACCTTAAGCCTAGTAAGCCATACCCATGTTACTAGTGCAGAAACAGAAGCCTAGGGTAGGGGCAGTCAAGTCACTTGTCCAGGGCTGCATAGCTGGGAAGGGACAAAGAAGTCTTTACCCTTCCCTTCTTCCCAGGAAGCCTCTTGAAGGCAGAGCCTCTGCTCCAGCAAGGGGATGCTAGCTCTCTGCAGCCCACCCTGTTCATTTGGTATGGCCTTGGTTGGTTTGGATCTTCCGTGGATGTGTATGCACAAAGCCCATGTGTATAGATGTCACATAGCCTTTCTCACCACTGTGCAACAGCCCTGAAGCGGGAGCTGTTTCTCCTGTTATCTTTCCTGAGAGATGAACAACAGCAGCAGTGATCACTATAGGGGTGGCACTGTAGGGGTGGCGTATCTATTTATTTGGTCAGTGCAGTAAAACTTTTAGCTGTCCAAAAGGTTCCACCTTTACAAAGAGATTAAACGAAGAAATATTTGGAACCATATAACAACTGGAAAGAAATTAAGGTAAATACATACTTTGTGTTTGAATGGTGTCTACCTCCTGAGAGCAAGGGAAGACGTCACATTTGAAATATAGTTACTAGGTTGGACTTCATGAAAACATACAGCTTATACGAAGGCGTGTCCTAAGATCCAGAATCGAATTACAGATGACAACGGAAGAGACACATACTTACCACAAATACAACAAAGGCTAAGCTTAATCCTTACCTATTTGCTGGGGTGGAACCAGAGCCTCACACTTGCTAAACACACGCTCTATCACTAGACTACACCTCTAGCTGCTTTGTGGCAGTCCCCTCCCTAGCCTTTAAGGAAGGGCTTGTGCAGGAGAGGAGTGCCGCCTCTGTTTCCTCCAGAGGCTGAGACAAGCAGACCAGCTGTGTCTCCATTATGGTTTCATAAAAGACACAGGTCCCAGGTGTCCTGGTTCCACACTGGGAGGGACAGCAGCCAACATGGTGCACCTAACTCATGGCCTCCATAACGTACACAGCCACACCTCTCCATAAGCCTTCAAGCAGTGCTGGTCTGATTCTCATCAGCTATGTTAACATTCCCAAACCTGAACAATTGTGAAACTGGTAACACCCAGGTCCCAAGCATTTTAGACAAGGAACACTCAGCTTGTGGATGAGGCACTGAGGTGACTGCCACATGGTCCCTGCCGCATGGCTCCATCTCTCTAGCGCTCACACTCTTTCAAAAGTGTGGATTAGGGATGCTCGGCCAGGTTCCTTTGCTTTCCCCACATTCAGTGACTGCAGGCCCTGGGCAATAAGGCCTCGTAAGACAGAGGCTGACTGGGTCTCTGTGGGTCTGGAAGGACAGCAGGGAGGTGAGGTACCACCTGGGGTAGTCCATGGACCCACTTACTCTTTGGGGGGATTCAGGTCCTCAGGTCTTGTCTCAAAGAACTGCAGCACCTCATCACACTGTGAGATGTAGGGAGGTAGCTGGATCAGGGCCTAGAGAAGAGACATGGGTGAGCCTGAGGAAGGAAAGGTGTCAAGAGTCTGCCATCAGCAGTTCTCAGATTTAGGCAGACATCAGGAATGCACAGAGGGCTTTCTAACGCACAGACAGGGGCCCACCCCAAACTTCTGATTCAGTAGGCCTATGGTGAGGCCTGATAATGGGCACTGTAATAAGTTCTCTGGCTATACTGATGCCTTTGGCTTGAGGAACACACGTGTGTTCATGCATCATCCTATGTATGGATGTACATACATGTACCTACGTATTGTAGGCATATGTGCAAAAATTATATGCATTCATTTACACAAAGCAGCCCATATTGTACATGCAGTTTTGGAAAGTGATGCTTTCTTTTACTGGCATCTATACTGACATTGCTGTCTACTGTCTCTATCGTACTCTCGAAGCACATCGCAAGTGTTTCCAACACACGTGCGTACGCATCTGAACTCCTTGTAGCTGGAGCTGCAAGGCGAGGGGACTGCTCCATGATTTCAGTAGAGGCTGGATGGAAGCCTCCAAGTGATGGGCATTTTCTTTGCACCGCACTGTATTGGTTTCTGTCTCAGATGTGGGAGAAATACAGAGTACCCAGCCTGCTCATTACAGAAGTGGCTCCATATTGAGTAAACCACAGTTTAACAAATATTTACTTAAGCCCCTGGTCCAGGTCCTGGACTGGGAAGATGGAGATGCAGATGGAGTGTGGTGGAGCTGGTTCAGGTCCATGTGATTACGCACGTGGGAGTGCACACACGCATAGGAGTGATTTACATAGCACAGGGGCTGGCACAGCTCATGGTTCCGAGGATGCCTCTGCCAAGGCAGGACTCTACTTCCTAGGCCATGCTCCCTGGGGCCTCTCTTGCACCTTCTGACCAGGCTGAGCCCGAGTGAAGAGATGTGCTGAGTACTTTCTGTCAAACATCTCTGAAAACCAAACTTGCACCCCACCCTTGCACTGATGTTCCAGCCCTGCAGGAGCACAAGGCTCAAATTCATACTGTGGAGGTGCACAGGGGTCTCCCACACCCTGCATAGAGCTCCAGGGCTACTTTGACCCTACAACATGTTTCTTTCCCCAAGTTAACCAATTTTTAATTATAGTAAAATACACACAACATCAAATTGACTACCTGAGTACTTCATAGGCCTTAGCACCTCCCCACTTTGCTACCTTCAGACCCAGAGCTCATTCCATCTTCCAGAACAGAGACTGTACCCACCAGCAGCCTCCTCCTCCCATTTTCCGTTCCTTTGAGTTTCTGCTCTTGGTACCTCCAACATGGAACCATATGGCCTTTGTCCCTCTGGATCTGGCTGGTATCTTGTAAGCATACTCATCCATTCAGGGTCACCCCTGTTGCAGCACATGCCAGGATTTCTTTCCTCAGGCTGAATAACACCATGTATATCATATTCTATCTAAGGACATGAGGGTTGCTGGCTCTACTCTGTGTGTGTGTGTGTGTGTGTGTGTGTGTGTGTGTGTGTGTTGTGCTGGGGATGGCACCCAGGGCTCATGTATACTAGATAAGCATTCTGTCACTGAGCTGCATCCCAGCCCCCTGCATGATTTTTTTTAAGCCAAACTTTAACTTTGAGCTAACTTCCTCCCACCCCAGACTTAAGGTGGAAAGACATAATGAGGTGGGCAATGGTCTAGGAAGGCCCTTCCATCTTTCTGGGGTGAAGGACGCTGAACTAAAGGCTTGTTGATTGCTTTAATTAGCTAGGAAGCAGCTCCTGCTTTGCAGCTGGCCCAGGACTGACCTTTGCCAGGCCCGAGGAAGAGTTCTAGACAGAGAGAAACGGTACTGTCCTCCCACCTCTTCCATTTTGATGCCCTTTCCTTTTTCTAATTCTAGAAGGTGAGTGGTCATTCTTTTGCCCAGGGCACCTGAGTGTCTTTCCTCTGAAGCGCTGTAGTTCTTGCAGCTGATCTACATAAAGGAGTCGCTGACGGGATGCTGGACTGGGGTGTGCCCCCACTGCCTGGTGTGCAAACATCTTGCAGCTCCCCAGTCTATGACAGCAATGCTCCTCAATGCTGGTTCGGCCTGAAATGCACGCCTCTTTTGGTGTAATCCTGGAAGGCTGGCCTCTTTGTAGATGGGGAAATGGAGGCTGTGATGATCCTCTACCCCAAATCCAGAGGGGCAGGGGTCATGCTCCTCCACCATCTTCCCTTCACTATTAGACAACGCTGAGTAGACTTGTGATGTCAGGTTGAAGGTGCTAGCTAGAAAAACAGCAGGAGGGAAGGGCCTGGACCTGGTCACAAGCCCCCTGGGATGGTCCTTGCTGAAAAGGGCAGAGACCAGGCAGACCAGTGAAGGAGGCTCAACGAGGCTTACAGAACCCTCCCAATAATGCAAGTTCTCTTCAGCTTTTGAGCTGTCCCTAAGAAGTAAAAGCCAAACCAAACCCTCAAACCATACAGTAAGCCAAGTTCTCGCTAAAAGGCAGTGCTGTGTGCATTCAGAGTGCCATTTCATGTTGACAGCGTGCTTAACAGCAGCAAATCAGGACCTGAGGCAGAGGAAGCATTTTACATCTGGAATATTCCATGGCTGTATGAGTTTGGTCCCTAGTGACAAAGCGCTGCAGTTGTACTCTGGTTCTATCTGTGGTCCTCCAGATGTGGCTGGTCCATGTAGGGACAAGTGAAGATAGAAAAGCAAGTCTTGCTTGCCCAGGGCAATAATAGCTCCTGATTCTGGTTCTGTTCTATCCTTGCTATATAATTCTAGCTAAGCCCTGTAACTTCTCTGACGGAAATGAGAAACACCGTTTCTGAGGGTTGTGTACAGCCTACTTGAGGATGTGGCGTTAGGCTTCTATCATTTGTCACCTGCTGGAGAAGCATCAGCTGGTGACTTTGGCTCTGGACTGAGCCAAACACAGGGACATGGTAGCTTTAGGAGCAAGATGATTGAATCCATTTAGTAAAGCTTCAGTTGGGGAGAACAGTCATGTTCTTGCTTTCTTTCATTCCTCCTTGTCTTCCTGAGGAACACCCGGAGAGGCAACGCATCTAGTCTATTTCTTGAGGGCAGGATGAGGCTCTGCAGAGCCTTGAGTGGGCAGACCACAGCAGCTCACTGGGTTGAAAAATATTTTAGAGTAGTTTCTTCTGTTTGTATTTTCCCTTTTAATGCACATGATACCTACCAACTTGATACCACATCTGTGAAATAGTTTCCCCCAAATATACTATTTTAACAAGTTTTTTTTTTTAAAGTGAGTTAATTTGTTGGGTGTAGTAGCACATGGCTTTAATCCCAGCACTTGAGAGGCAGAAGCAGGTGAATCTCTTGAGTTTTGAGGCTAGCCTGGTCTACATAGTGAGTGCCAGGCCAGCCAGGGCTGTATAGTGAGACCTCATTTTAAAAAAAAAGTGAGTTAATTTAGAGAAAAATATTAATAACAGAGCTAATGCTTAACAAAACTCTGGAATTGAGGTCTCTAGCATCTGGAGTCTGGTCAATACTGCTGAGATATTGCCTAGTGCTCCTATTAAAACACTATGCAATGGGCACATCCACTTTGCACACCTGTATGTGCAGGTGGAAGCTGAGGCCCGAATGTGCACGTGGGAGCTGAGGTCCGTGTGTGAGCTGAAGCCTGTGTGTGGGAGCTAGCTTACATGCTAATGCTGCTGAGTGGCTATCTCAAGGCCCTCACTGGGACGGAACATGTCAGCAAGGGAAAGGCTCTTTCTACGGGTTAGATTCAGTCTGCCTATTAGAACTCACACTGAAATTTAATCCTACTGTGATGGGCATGGGCTGTGAGGTGGAAGCAGCTCTGAAGAATGGACTAATAACTTTCTTTGGTGAGAGAGCCTTTGCTCTAGAGGGACATGTAGGGCTGCTGGAAAGCGAGCCTTCCTGTCCCACTTTGCTCTTCAGCTTTCCACCAGGAGCAGATGCACTAAGCACTTGCTGGTGTCACACTCTAGGACTTCCAAGTTTTCAGAATCATGAGCCAAAAGAAACCTTTTTTCCCTCTTTTCTTTATCCAGTTTCAGATATTCTGCTATGGCAAGAGAAAATAAGGTAAGCCAGGCTGTGACCCGAAGTCCTGGGGCCGGGGGTGAAGCTCAGTGATACAACATATGCTTAGCATGCCTGAGGCCCTGGGGTGAATTCCCAGCACCCAAACCAAACACAGTTCATTTTAGAAAGGATCCCTTCAAAGTGTCAGCCATTTCAGTCTTGGATCAATACCATGGCCTGTATTCATCAGCATAGCAGTTGTTAGAAATGATGTGGCTGTTTTGGTTTTTTGTGTTCTCTACTGGTGAACTGAAGTGTGTTCTAAAAATATTCTGGCACTCTGGTCCTTATATGAGCAAAAGCCTGTGTCGCACACATATCCTTCACAATGGTGCCTTGGGGCCAGAATTCTTCATCTGTCCTGTGCTCAGTCTCCTTTGGGAGGTTTTATGGTTAGACTGTGGCTGGGAACAGATGATCTGCTGCATTTGGGAACAGTTATTCATGCCAAGTGGTGTCAGACAGGGCTGGTCTTACAGTGAGCTCCAGAGTCAGCTGAGTGGCGCTTTAGGAAGCTGTGTGGCAACAAATGCTCATCTTGGTGGCAGGATTCAGGAGTCATGTTTTCATTGTGTTGTTCATGAACCTAAGTCCTTAAATGTACAGTGGTCAAATAAATACATCTTTTTTTGTGGTGTCTTTTGGATCTTTAAAACTCCCTCTATGCCTAGAGATTAGGAAGATATTTTCTAAAAGCCCATATAGCATTGCTTCTTATAGTTGTGACTTTAATTTCCTGGAAACAATTTCACTGTGATATGAGGTTAGGGTGAGCTATCTTTTCCCTCATATGGAGAACCATTTATCAGGGAATCCAATCTGCAAGGTTGTCTTTGTCAAGTCAACATGACTAGCATTCAGGGTCTGTTTCTGGGCTCTCAATTTGGGGCCTTTCTCTCCTGTGCCAGCTATGTTAATGATGATAACTATACTGGGTCAGGCAGAGATTTTCTTTCATTGTAATGCACACTAGCAGCTAGGTTTTTAGCCCATGCGTGATCTTCACTTACTGGAGATTACCAATTTCTACTAAAATAAAGCTAATTGTGATTAATCAAATTGGCTTAAGTCAGATCACAATGTCACTAACAGATGTCTAAATGTTATGGAACAGCCTATGCAGTCTAAAACTTCAGCTCTTGTGACAAAGGGGACAGTTTTATGTGCCTCTCAGGAGGGCAGGTCCCTTGATGATGACCCAGGGAGTCTGGCCAATCAAATAAAATCTCAATATACTGTCTTTGTTTCTTCTGATCCACTAACAGCAGGGGTGCTGACTTCTGTGTGGCTCACAGAACATAAGCATTTTCTTTCCTGATCTCTGTATTCTTCTACATACCAGGCAGCTATAGGCAGTTGCTGTTCCTTAGAGTGCCAGGATTTTATTTTTGTTTTTGGTCTTTTTGAGACAGGGTCTCTCTGTAGCCCCAGCTGTCCTAGAACTCACTATGTAGACCAGGCTGTCCTTGACTCATAGACATCCGTCTGCCTCTGCCTCCCAAGTGCTGGGACTACAGGCGTGTGCCACCACACCCGGCTAGAGTGCCAGGATTTTAAATGTCCTTTTCAAAACCAAATCTCTAGAGGTTGGGGAAGCCCTGGGCAGTTGGACTTGGAGATAAGTTGGTGGGCTGAGGAGAAAACGGGACAACAGTTTCTGGGAAACATGCTGGCCGGAATTGTCCAGCCAAGCAAGGTGACCCTAAGGGTCCTAGGTTCTTGCCTGTAAGAGCTAGACAAAAGGAGATTGCCTCTGGAATGGCAATTTCAGGCTTTAGAGGTTTAAAAAAAAAAGGGACACAGGGAGGACTAGAACTTTCCTTTGAGAGCAGAAGGTAATAGCAATGTCCTTGTGCCTGCCCCTCACCTGCCCTTTGGAAGATTATACACCACAGAGGAGTTTATCTGCCTGTATTTGTTGTCTGCTGCTATAGCAAACTAACTGAGGCTGGGTCCCTTTATAAGGTGAAGGCTTATTTGGCTCAGAATTCTGGTGGCTGGAGGATCTAAACATCAAGATGCTGCCATTCTGTCCAGATCCCCTGTTACTAAAAAAAGGAACCAAGAGCACTGGGTGGCCTTGATTTCTAACAACCTGAGTCTTTCGGAGGTCACTTTTAAGTTTTAAGTTACAGCAGTGCTCTATAATCCAGGCCTGATGACACAACCTCTTGCATTTTGACCTCCTCAGAGGCCACAGTAAGCGGTGCATGGGGGGCACTGAGGAGCAAGTCTGGGCTCAACTCACAAGCCCTCCAATGCCGTCACTGAGTAACTGTGGGGTTTCTATTTCCTCACCTACACGTCGGGAATATGGAAATCTACTGCTCACAGTGGCTGAGGGATGGAATGAGGTCACGTCTGGCCAGGAGTAGACACTCGATCAGCAGTGGTTTTTTTGGCCCTTCCTGGATGTCTCTTACTGAGAGGGGTCATCTGTCCCTACACTGCCCTCTTTGTATAAAAAGTTCTACAGATTTATTACAATATAATTTACATACCATAAATCTATTTGCTGTGAGTGCCCAATTCAGTATTTGGTAAATTACAGAGTGGTGTTCTCATCCCCACAATTTAGTTTGAGAATTTTTCCATCACCTCAAAAATCTCCAGCCATCAAATCTGCAGTCCATTTCCTCTCCCACTGCCCCAAGCCCAGGAAACCACTGATCTCTTTCTATGCCTGTAAACTCACCTTTTCTGCACATTTCTTATACATGGAACCATACTAACTGTAGTCTTGCATCTAGTTTCTTTCACTTAACATCATGGTTCAAGACTCATCTAGGTCATAGAATTTATCTGTATGTAATTGCTTGATATGGTCACATTGCATACCGCCTCTTGCATTTCATTATTATGACTTCATGTTGCTAGGAATGTCTGCATCCAAGACTTTGTGTGGAACTAAGTTTTCAGTGTTCTTGTATATACACCCACAAGTGGTGGTGTGACAAGCTCAGTTTGTAGGGGAGTGTTGAGAGAGCTTCTTATTATGTACCCAGACTGGCCTGGAACTGGGGATCTGCCTACTTCAGCCTTCCAAGAAACTGGCCCACTATTTCCCAACAAGCTTTCTCATTTATGTCTCACCAGGATGAAGGCCCCAGTTTCCTCACATTCTCACCAACACCTGGCACAACTGTCCAGAGATTACCGCTAGTTGATACAACTGTCCGGCAATTACCGATAGTCTACACAACTGTCCAGAGACTCCTGCCATCTACCGACTATGCTGCTACCTCATTCAGGTCTCTGTTCGCCTAACCCCAGGTTCCTGATGCTGGGTTTATACATATTTATCTGTAATTCTTGTAACATCCTGGGTGAGATTACTATTAAACATTTCCCTTTTTTATTATAGAGTTAGTTGTTAGAGTGTTGATGTTTTCTCAGAAGCCCCTTAGAGAAACATTTTACAGATTATTTTACCCAGTCTGTGATAGGTTCTTTTATTTTCCTACGGTGTTTTTTGAAGTAGAGAAGTCTGTAAGTAGGTTTGCTCAATGCCAACTTTATCACATTTTTTTTTAGGGCTTATATTTATGGCGTCATATTAAAAAACTCTTTGCTGGGCAGGAGAGATGGCTCAGTGGTTAAGAGCACTGACTGCTCTTGCAGAGGACCCAGGTTCGATTCTCAGCACCCATATGGCATCTAGCAACTGTCCATAACTCCAGTTTCATGGGATTCAATGCCCTCTTATGACCTCCATGGGCATTGCACAGCATGGGTGAACCTACCTGCACATAGGTGTTACACTGATACACATAAAATAAAAATAACAAAATATTGTTTTCAAAATATATAAAACCAAAATAAGTGGTTTGTTACTGCAATGCTCAATTAACTGCACGGGTGATTAACATTATCCAGTTAGAATACATTGCATCTTAGATCAGAGTCTTGTAACACCTGTGCTCATTGAAATATGGGGGGAAAGTGGCTGCAGAATTATTAGAGTTCTATAGTATATACTAGTTAACTTCATGCAGTTATGGTTGAATACTGCATCCTTGTGTTTGTTTACATGTCTGTGAGTTGCAAATGGATGATATATGCATATTCTGCTGAGTTTTAACTTTTATAAGAGATTTGTGTATAGCATATACATTGACAGTTATCTACACATATTTTATGTGCTTATGACAAATCTGCTTTCTTAGTTTTTCCAGGCTGCATGGTTTGTATTAGGTTTTTTCTCTCGTTGTTGAGACAGAATCTTACTGTGTAGCCCAGGCTCACTGGAACTCACTGTGTAATTCAGACTAGCCTCAAACTCACAGCAATCCTCCTGCTTCAGCCTCCTATATGTTAAGATACAGCCATGAGCCGTCACGCTCAGCTTTTTACTTTGTAGTATGACTCTACTGGTTGAGCCATCTCCCTAGCTTGAGTGGAACTGCTTTTTGAATTTTACTTCTGGACATACAAACAATTGATGGATCCTGCATCTTTGGATCTCACCATACTCAATACTTTGAGTGTTTATGGAAATCTCTTATAACTTTCTAGTAGAGAATCATGCCAAAGTTGGATAAATAAGTAGTAAACACAAGAGAAACTAAACAAAATGAAAACTAACTTCCTTCCTTCCTTCCTTCCTTCCTTCCTTCCTTCCTTCCTTCCTTCCTTCCTTCCTTCCTTCCTTCCTTCCTTCCTTCCTTCCTTCCTTCCTTCCTTCCTTCCTTCCTTCCTTCCTTCCTTCCTTCCTTCCTTCCTTCCTTCCTTCCTTCCTTCCTTCCTTCCTTCCTTCCTTCCTTCCTTCCTTCCTTCCTTCCTTCCTTCCTTCCTTCCTTCCTTCCTTCCTTCCTTCCTTCCTTCCTTCCTTCCTTCCTTCCTTCCTTCCTTCCTTCCTTCCTTCCTTCCTTCCTTCCTTCCTTCCTTCCTTCCTTCCTCCTTTTAATGTAATCTAATCCAACATCAACAAAAGGCAGGCCTCTTACTGTTAAAAGATTCAAGAGGCAGGAGGCCGGCTGCTTCAATGGCAACAGGGGTTGAAGGCCTTCTGGAATGTTCTTGCACAATGGAATACCATGCAGCTAATGAAATGTTATGGATTCAAATTGATTCCATAACAGCATGGGAGATTTGCATGTCACAATAAATAATAATAACAATAAGTCTATATTCCCCCCCAACAATGAGCATTTTGCAATCAAAAAGAAAAACAAGACGGAACACCCATAAGAAAAAAGAATGTTGGTATGTTTCAGCTTACCTTACAGTACTCATCAATTGGTATCAGGCGTTTGACGGCCACGTCCCGGATGTGGCTGCGTCGGAAGAGAATTTTGCCTGCAGGAAATGAGAACACACACAATTTTGCAGAAAGCAGTCACCCATCCCCTGCCACCTGGTGTGGCTGTCCAGAGGCAGCCTGAGTACCCAAATTCCTGGCTGCCCTCAATATCCCCCTGCAGGGTTCCCCAAAGCTCTGTCTACAGACAGCTCTGACATGATGGCTTGGGAGACTGAGGCCCAACCAGTATGGATTTTCAAGTTTTATGGTGCTGGGGATTGAACTCGGAGCCTTGTTTATGCTAAACACACCATCTGCAGTGGAGCTACACTCCAGTTCCACAGCACCCTGGGGATCAGTTAAACACAGTCCTTGGCACAGTGGCTGATTGTATCTTTGGGCCACACTGTGGCACTGACCTGTATACAATGTCAGGTGATCAGATCAGGATAATTGACAGGGTCATCACTTTCAGCACTTATTGTTATGGAAAAATCAGAGGTGAGGAGAGGAAGTTTACTGATACCACGAATAAAGGAGTCAGACCTCGTGTTCATGTTTTGGGGGCCTTTTATACTCATGTGTGGGGAAATGCAAACAAAAGGCAAAACAGCACACAGGTGACAAGTAACCGGTACATGTGATAATTAAGCAAGGTAACACATGGCCACAAAGGTTACAGGAATGGGAGAACTTTGGAAAACAAAGACTTCCATCCTGGGCAACCACAGAGGCAGGATGGGAGACTGCTGCTCACCTCCCCCATACCTGTCGAGTTTTCCCAGCTGCAAAGTTCTTAATTACCATCGCATTGCAAAAGCTTTTCACCTCCACAATATTATCATCTGTGTTGGGAACATCTAAATACTCTCCAAGCTGAGTTAAAATACCTAATTAGTTATTATCAGCCACAGTTCCTATGGTGCTATGTAGAGGCCATTCTGTCTCTCCACTTCCTGTCCTTACGGGACCATCTCCTCACACTCCCTGCTCCTTCCCCAGGCTCTGGGTACCACTTCTGATTTTCTACTTCCTAGTTTCTGCATCTCTGCAAAAGTATGAGGTATTTGTCTTTCTGGGTCTGAGCCTGGGAAACTGGAAACAGTCCCCTGTAGGAAGGGCTCCTGCTGGGGGGCCCAGTTAGAGTGTACTAAGCCTGCATACCCCAAACCCTCAGGCTGCGTGAGCAACAGAAGCACAAACTCAGTCTCCTTCCTCCCTTTCCTCAGTCACCTCTCTGTGCCTGCCTCAGAGTCCCCCAAACTTCTGTGCTCTTATCTGATTCTGTGCCTTCCTGACATACATAGAGAAACCTATCAAAGGGTTCGAAGCACTTGTCTTCTGAGCTACAGAATACAGTTTTTGTTTTCTTCTGTATGCTTTCCCTAAGGCGTCTACCATTATCTATTGCATTTCAATTAATGAACCAGTCATGTCTGTTAGAGCAAAACACTTCCCACAAAGGAAGGGGTGAACACTGAAAGCCTGGTTTCCTCACTCAATCTGAAGTCTCCTGGGGGCCAGCAGGCTTGGCTGGTCTCCCTAACATGGAGGGACCCTGCTAACATTCTGGGAGGGGCAGGACTATCCCCGACCCCACAGGGTGCTGAGTACCACATATCTATCTCCAGACCCAAGGCTAGCCACTAACAATCAAATAGCCCTACCCTCTCGTTTTCATTGGCTGTTAATGGTGGGCTGCTTGTAGTCTAGACCCCTTTGGGGTGCCCTGAGCTTTCAGGACTAAAAAGGAATCTGAGCCTAAGGAGCAACCCTGCGTGGCAAATGTTCCCTGTTGCTCACCTGTTTCATAAAGTGGGAGGACTCACTGACCAAAACAGTGTGGTTGTGTATAGTGTCAGCTCTCTCCTGTGGGTGGGGAGTGAGGAGGGTGGTGTACAGGCTTGTTACCGTAACGGTAGTGCGTGGGTTCAAAATATTTATAACCAGCATGATACACATGCTGTCCTGTGGCAAAAGGAATAGACTTGTCCAAAGTAACCAACCAACTAAAGAGCTAAGGATTAAGCCCTTGGAGATGTGAGGAACTCAGGTGTTTCCTGGGGTTTGGCACAGGACAGAAGTGCCACTTGCCTCCCTGGTATGGCCTTGGAGGGACAGGGATCTCTGGGCAAGTTTGGGGCAGAGGAAAGCCCACTGGGAAGGTCACAGCCAATAATCCTTCCTGCTGTGCATTCCTTGGGAGCCAATCAACTAGGGAAAATGGGTCACTGTGGCTTAGAGGTCATCTCCACTGCATGCCCTTCGTAGGCCTTATAAGGAGGAACTACTGTTCTCCCCAAGGCAGTTTTGAGGAAGTGTAAGACACTGCACTGGCAGGGGTGGTGGCACACACTTTAATCTCAGCACTCAGAAGCAGGTAGATCTCTGTGAGTTCAAGGCCAGCCTGGTCTACATAGTGAGTTCCAGGCCAGCTGGTACTACAGGGAGACCCTGTCTCAAAAAAGACCAAAAAAAAAAAAAAGGCAAAAGAAAACAAACAAACACAAAACCCCCCAAAAAAAAACAAAACAAAAAAACCTGAACACATTAATTAGAGCTGGGTGTGAAGGTCCATGCTTTTAGTCCCAGCACTTGGGAGGTAGAGGCAGGCAAATCTCTGATTGAGGCTAGCCTGGTCTACACAGGGAGTTCCAGGATGGCTGGGGCTACAAGGAGACCCGGTCTCAAACAAGACAAAACAAAACACCCCCCAAGCCCCACAACAAAACAAAAATAAACAAAAACACATTAATTTGCTCAGGCTCATTGGTGGCACCCCTCTGGTGAAGTGTGGGGATCCTGGCATGGGTCTGGGCCTGATGGGATGGTTGGGAAGGGCAAGGCCACTGGAGTGGAAAGGGTGCTCAGAAGAGAGAATAGCTTTGGTGGGAATGGGTGGCTTTTGTTTTCCACAGTGGAGGAAGGCCAAATGGTAATTCTCAGTTTTTAAGCTGAATCCTCTGCCAAGTTGGCCTCCTCAGCTCCGGTAGGGACGGAAAGTTGCAGGGGCTGGTCCCCTCCCCCGCCTTTGTGCTAACTTGAGACTTGCCTTTGTCCTGCTGATGTGGCAGTGTAGGAAGAAAACTGTCTTGAGGAGAGGGGGCTTGCTCCCTACCCCAGGGCCTTGGTCTGGGAAACAGTTGAAAGGTGGGCTCAGAAGGAATGGGCCAGGGGTCCTGGGGTGCTAGGGGATTTCAGCAAGCTGCAAGTGGACTCCTCACAGGGACAAAGGGGCTAGGCCCTGAGAACAGCATTTTCATTAATTCTTGGGTGGAAAAGGATTACATAATCACAAAGGCTTTTAAGAGCTGGGGAGGGTCGGGCTCAAGTTCTCTGCCTTAGGATTTTTTTCCAGAGCTGATTTTGTCTTTCATCCAGAAGAAAGCTACAAGTTACTACTGTTCTTTCTTTCTTGAAGAAAGCCTAGCATTAAGAGCTTAGTTGAAGTTGATCATTCTTGGTCCTTCAAAGATGAGTCCAACATATGAAACCAAGAAATCCCAAAGGCAGGCCCATGATTCTCTGATTGCCTCTGCTGAAAGTCTTATGTGTCATGAGTTGAATCTTGTGAAGTAAGGTGGTTGTCCTATTTAACAGATGTGCAAACTGAGGTACAGCAGTATGTGTGTGTCTGTGTGTGTGTGTGTGTGTGTGTATGTGTGTGTGTGATTAAAGTCATGGGGCTGAAGAGGTTTGACTTCAAAGCATGTGCTTGGCAGCCCCCGAGTTTTGGCTCTTGTGGCTGGCACATGGGGCTTTCTCAAGACTAAAAATATTAGCTTTTTTTAGGTAAAGAATTCTCCTGGGGGAGGGGGCATGGCAATCACAGCTACCCTGTTGCTAACCCTAATCAGGCTGATGGTATCCCTGAAAGAACCCACTGACTGAAGGACAGGAGAACGGGCACTGGTGTGACTCGACTGTTCACTGATCTGGAAAAGGAACCAAGAGCTCTTCCAGCTATAAATACCTGTGACTTGGGTGGCTGTCAGTGTGCCGATCATCTGTGTGGGACAACAGCAAGTGAGTGATGGCCCTCCATGACCTGCCAGGCATTTATGTAAGCCTCATAAGCGCCATCATTTAAGTACTATTCTCATCTCCAGTTTGCAAGCGAAGAAATCAAACTCATGTCCTTAAATCACTTACCAAGGTAAGGTGTGTGTGTGTGTGTGTGTGTGTGTGTGTGTGTGTGTGTTTGTGTGCACCTGGGATGCCAAGGTTGGAAGTGACTCCAGGCACAAAGCTTGGAGCCAGCTACCCCTTTGAATCTTAAGTCTGCCATCTATGCAAGTGCTTATAGTGTTTCTGAGTCTCAGTTCTTCTTTATGAAACGGGTGTGGTAATTCTTGCCTACAGGGTTGCTGGTGACACACGGAGGTGATTAGTGTAAAGCACTCAGCTGAGTGGTGGCTCATTATGACAGTTGTAAGGGTAATTGTTAGAACTTGAACCAAATTCTGGTCTGGGTTCTCTCTCTCTTCTTCACCTGAAGCTTTGATACTATTCTTTGGTAGGAAATTGTGTGTGTGTGTGTGTGTGAAGCCAAGACTGCATTACATCCTCTGAAGTAGCTGGGGTGACAACTGGAACTCAAAGTACTTGGACTTTTTACCAAGATTCCAACATATTCTGTCCTAATCACCAGAGCCTGTGGATATGATGAGATAGTCTATGCCTTACATTATCTCGGATCAGCCGAGTGGGTAAGCACAGGAGCCCTTTTAGCAGACAGCTTTCTCCAAGGTGGAAGTCAGAGGTATTTGAAGTGTCAGAAAGTTTCAGTGCTGCATCACTGACTCAAAGACCAAGGGTCCATATGATGAGGAACACAGGCAGCTTCCAGACATTGAGAGGACCCCAGTTGATAGCCAGCAAGCAGATGGCAGGGAATGGACTCTGCCAGAATGTAGTGAGGTTAGACACAAACTCTTCTCTGGAACCTCCAGGTAGGAGGCTCAGCCTCGCTAACACCTTGACTTTGGCCTTGTGAAACTAAACAGGGAACCCAGTTGAGCCTTCCGAGGCTTCTTATCCACAGAGCTTCAAGGGGAAAATGCAAGGTACTGATTTTTTGAATTGTTGGTAACTTGTGATGCAGGAATAGAAAACTAATACCATGGCCATAATGACAGAAACTGCTCACTATGAGAACTTTCTGAGCAGACTCCCATTTGACAGCTGGGGGAAGCTGAGCACCCAGAGGTCAGGGTCCCACCTAGGGTCCCACAGCTAGTATGCAGCATAGCATTTAACAACAATGTCCATTCTTAGTCATGTGTTCTGCCCTTGGACTGAAATTCTGTTCAGTGGGACAATGGTGCCAATGCAGGGGAACGAGCTCAGGTTTTCTGGGAGCTGTTTTTCAAATGGCTGGTGTCCCTTTTGAAAGTGGGGACCTCATCTACCTGGCAGAAATGGAATGATCCTCTGTTTGGGGTCCTTCTGTCCTCCTTCCATGGGAAACTTGTCCAACATCTGCATCTAAATGGGGAGAGAATATAAGCAAAAAACATTTACAATATAAAAAACATATTCTCTGACATTTTAAAGGAATATATGAAATATATAAAGGAATATATGTCTTTTGACATAGAAAAAGCTCAATTTGTTTGGCTTTTCAGAAACTGGAAACAATGGGAATGGCAGTTTTGGCTGGATCTGGGGCCCCCATGAAAGCAACTGTTTATATCCATAGCTTCCAAACTGTAAAAGCCTGGAGGTACATGAGACCTTGGTTTTATATAAGGGCTTCAGCCACAGGACTTAAAATATGAGCAACTTACTAAGAACTTGTAGCATTTCACAGACAGCAGGTCATCTTGCAGTCTCAGAAGTGACAGGTATGCTAAGATAAATTTCACCAGGTCAGGACTATGCTTATGACCTCATGCTATTCCCTGACTCACTTAGAAGCCCCCAGCCTGGCTCAGCAGAGTCCAGTGCCTGGCTTTGTGCTGCATGCATGGGCCAGTCACAAAGACGTACAGTCTCTAGAAGAGCCTGGAAAATAAACTGATAATTTCAAGGTGGTGTAAGAGGTACCATGAAACAGACAGAGGTAGGCAGGCTGCTGGGGTAGGGGACAAGTGGGTAGCAGATGTGAGCTGCCCTGCTGTCTATGGGGTGACTTGTTATGGCAGCTATCCTAATTAGTATATATATGCCAAGAAGACAGAGCAGATAGGAAGAGAGTCCTGAGTCCAGAGCACACCTGGAATGGCTGGCAAGCTAGAGGCCTTACCACCACTGCACTTCAGGGAGAAAGCTACCTTGACTCTCTAGAATGTCTCTCTGATGGAAGGAAAGATGCTTGGAAAAGTCCAGAAAAAATGAGTGGAGCTATTGCACAGGCATTCTGAGTGGGACTAGAGCTCCATGCACTCGACCTTAATAGTACCCCCCTCTGAAATCCTCAGAATCCTCCAAACATGGACACTAACACCGAAGTCAGAGAGGCAAAGAAATCAGCCCAGAGCTTGCAGCTGAGGGGTACCTTTCATTTTAGACCTCACCTCTGTCATGCTAAGACAGACAGACAGGGCAGGGAGGGGACACATGTTTCAGGCTGAAGTTTCTAGCTTTTGTGCTAGGTGACAGAATTCCCTGGGGAGCAGGCCAGCCTTAGGGTGTCTGGGCTTGAAGGGTAGCTGGGGTGCATGGGTTTCCAAGAAGCCTGGGTCAAGACTTTATTCATGGATTTTCTTTTTATTATTTATTTATTTATTTATTTATTTATTTATTTATTTATTGGTCTTTTTGAGACATGGTCTCCCTGTAGCCCCAGCTGTCCTGGAACTCACTATGTAGATCAATCTGGCCTTGAACTCACAGGGATCCGCCTGCTTCTACCTCCCGAGTGCTGGGATTAAAGGCGTGTGCCACCGCGCCCGTCGGATTTTCATATTTTTGTTTGCAGTGTTGGTGATGGAGCCAAGGGCTCTGTGCATGCTAGGTAGATAGGAACTCTACCACTGAGTCACATGGTCAGCTCTGCTATCCATCACTTTATTTGTGGCTGTCAATCATTGGGCTCATCTGTCCTGTGTAGTGACGGGAAATATTTGAGCTACTATCCTGTGCTGACAGGTGAGGCCACTTTGGGCCTCCTTGGAAAGGGTGGACTTCCTTTTTTGCAGCACATAGCAGGCATTTAATAAGAATTGACAGAACTGGATGCTGACAGTATGGGAGGCCGTGTGTTTGTGTGTGTGTGTGTGTGTGTGTGTGTATGCAGAGCATATCTGAGAATGTTCAAGACTTCCCAATAAATTTTATGGTGACCCTAAAACTACTCTAAAACACAAAAATTTATTAACTAAAAAGAATAGGCTGAATCAATGGATTTGTTGGAGAGAGGTTTTTTTTTGAGACAGCATCAAGAAATGATTATAACTGTGGTGAATAATATTCACATCACTAATATAATGATTAATGATAACAACAACAGGGGTAGCTGTGGACAGTTGAGAGTCTTTCTATACACAGTTCATTTGACCTTTACAGTAACTCTGTGAAACAAATGGTAGTTTCCAAGTCACAAGTGAGGAAACTTGAGAGCAGAGGGCAATAACTGAAGCCACAGCCAGTATAAATCCCATTCTCTTAAGATCGTTAGGTGGCTTCAGTGTCGTGTGAACGCGGAAAGCCATCTTGCAATGAGGTAAGCTTAACATTCTGTGCACATATGAACAGCACACTCTCTTTTCAAAAGCCATTACTCAGTCTCAGCTGAAGAGTGAGATTTAGAGCTTTGTCTAACACTATCTCCTTTTTCCCTTCTCAATTTTAAGACGACGTTGAAATATCACTAAAGGGAAGCATTTTGTAAAGAATGCACAGGCAATCGATGCACACTGATGAGACTACTTCTACTTGGGTATTTTGTGAGTCCCAGGCAGGGGTTCAAATGAATAAAAAACACAAAGGGAAACACACACTTCAGTGGTCTGGACCACACTTGCCTGGGTGAAGCAAGCAAGAATAAAAATTGAGAGGGAAGCGGGGCATGGTGGCGCATGCCTTTAATCCCAGCACTCGGGGGGAGGTAGAGGAAGGCGGATCTTTGTGAGTTCAAGGCCAGCCTGGTCTACATAGTGAGTTCCAGGACAGTTGGGGCTACAGGGAGACCCTGCCTCAAAGACAAAAAAAACAAAAAAAAAAGAGAGAGAGGGAAATTCAGACACAGAGTCTGCACAGGTTGGTGAGTGTCTGCACAGGTGAGTGTCCACACAGGCTAATGAGTGTCCACACAGGGTGCCCATACTGGCTAACAAGTGTCCACACTGGATAACCAGCCCTCACCCAGCACTGCACTCTCAGTGCTCCCCATGGTCCTCACTGCTGGAACAGCGGCCCTCTCAGCTTTTGTTGCTTGCTCCATCCAGACAAGTGTGTGTGAAGTGTCTCCCTTAGTGTTGATGCTCCTTTGAGTTGAAGACCTGGCTTGTATGCTGGAGCTCTAACCACAGATAACCCTGGGGACAGGCAGCTCAGGTGAAATCCTCATGCTGCCTCTACCAGCTGTGACAGAGGAGCCTGTGTGGCTCTCTGGGAAATGAAAGACATAGCCTGCTCTGCAGAGGGCTGGGAATGCACGCTGCTACTTTGAAACTTCCTTGGGAGTAACTTTTAGTGATCTGGCAGGCTGTGTGGTTTAAAAAAATGTTACATATGTAACATACGGTAGGCTCTTTGGCATTAGGCACACTCACACATCTGAGCGCACAGTTCCATGGCATTAGGCACACTCACATGGTGGGCAGCCATCTCCTCCATCTCCACAGCCTTTCAGAGTCCTAAGCAACTCTTTTCAACCCTCCCTGGTGCCACTAGCTCCACCCTCCATCTCATTGATTATTCTAAGTACTGACCTTAGTGGAATCAAATGTTTGTCCTTTCTCCCTGGCCCGTTTGCATAATACATGGTCTTTAAGGTTCAGTTGCATTGCAGCCTGTGTCTCCGTTTAAAGGCTGGACTGACACTCAAGATGCTACTGGGAGGTGGTGGGACCTTTAAGGGGTGGGGAGAAGTTGAACTGTGGGGTAAGCTTTGAAGGGGCGGTGGGACCCTTGCCCCTTCCTATTTCTCTCTTTGAATCCTGGCCGCCTCCTTGCCCATGTGCTCCCACTACAATGCTGTCAAAGGTCAAAGCAATGGCCGATACACTGAAGCCATAAACCAATACGCCTCTCTTCCTTTTAGGCTGATTGTCTTGGTATCTGTCACAGTAATGGAGGGCTGTCCAGCACAGGAGAAAATGTCTTCTATCTGCTAATATACTAGCTGTCAGCACCAAGGACGACTGAGCATTTAAAAAGTGGCTCCTCTAACTGACAAACTGGATTTTCAATTTATATTTAATTCAATAACTAAACTTCCCACTTGAAGGGCCTCATGTGACTAGAGGTTGCTGTTTGGACAGTGCAGGGTTGACTGTAGCATTCATCTTCCCCTTTAAGCCATGTTTAATTTCATTTCACTAGCTTTATCACCCTATGATTAACTGTGGTCTGCACAGCTGCTAATTGCCAGGACTTGGACTGGGTAAGAGAAGCTGGCTCTGTGCTTTTTGGGACCAGGTTCACAGGCTGCAACCTGCTTCTTTGCAGAGGCCATACTCGGCACCTGGCACCTTGAAGTCTACAGCTGGGGACCACAGGTCAGTCACCCAGTTACTGGGAGGATGAGGCAGGGGGCTCACAAAATCAACGCCAGACTGGCCAACTCAGTAAAACCTGGTCTTAAAATAAAGCCCAAGCATAGAAGTCACCCTTGGTAACAAGAGAACCTACTACTCTGCTCCATCCCAGCTAACCACGGCAGCGGCCAGGCTGAGGAAGGTCTGAGGCAGTCTGGGTGGGAGCCCAGGGTGAGGAAGGTCTGAGGCAGTCTGGGTGGGAGCCCAGGGTGGGGAAGGTCTGAGGCAGTCTGGGTGGGAGCCCAGGGTGGGGAAGGGGCTGAAGGAGTTGGGGTGGGAACCCAGGGAGAAGGGATTGAAGTAGTCTGGGTGAGGGCCCAGGGAGGAAAAGGGCTGAGGCAGCCTGGGTGGGATCTAGAAAAGGCACATTAAGCTGCTACATCAGATGTCTCCAAGGGAATGGAGATGATGCTCCATCAGCTGTTTCCTAGATGTCAGCTTGTGTAGGAGGGAAAGTGAACCAGGCCATCCATGGCAAACACTGTAGAGCTGGGCTGGGGCTGGAGCTGGTGTGGAGAGTCACATGTGGTTCATGTTAGTATAGCCAACAGGACTGGACTTGGGAGGGGCTGGTTCCTCAGTATCCATCACAAAAACCCCAAGTCCCAGGGGAACCACAGCAGGAAGTGAAGTGAGGCTGGGAGCAGTCCAGGGCAGTTACGTGTTGGGAGCCATGTGGTCCTCAGGAAGGGATTCCAGGCCCTGGATACACATCTCAGCCTCAGGAGGTAGTTTCTTATCTTTGGGGATTTTGTCCCTTCAGTGAGTTGATCTAAATGTCGG